AAAAAACTCATTTGTTGAAATGGGGGGGCCTATTGTTTGAACCCCTTAGGGGCTTTTAAAAACAAAAATGTCTCTTTTTGCGCTTTATGAAACAAAGTACCCTATATTTTGTGGATGTACAGCTGCATTTCTCATGTAGGTTTGCGTAGTTTTAAAACAAACATTTATTTTTCATATTGCACCAGTACAGTTAATGAGAAACCTGTACTTGTGTGCTTGTTTGTTCTGTCTAAAATGTTTATTTTGAAATAAAGAGGTTAATATAAAAAAAAATATTTTGTGTCCGATTCATCGATTAATCGAAAAAATAATCGGCCGATTCATCGATTTTCAAAATAATCGTTAGTTGCAGCCCTACTATCAATCTTTTGGTGGCTGTCTTCTAGCGATTTCCAGGTTTTGGTATTCATTGTGCAAAATGTCTGAGTCAGTCTTTGCTCAAGGCTTTTAAGGTTCTGCTTGATTCTAGATCAGTGTTTGATGAGGTGGCGGTACTGGTGGAATATTCAGACAGTCCCTTTTTGATGTTGGGATGACCTCCAGAATATTTTTTTTTTTTTTTTTTAACATACAGATATATTTTTTCCATCAAGACTCTTCTGTGTAGCTCTGCATTAGCTTCCCTATGCAGGTGGTTATCGGTGAGGAAAATGACTCAATAGTTAATATTTTAGATTGCATTTGATATTCAGCATGTTTTTACCTGTGATGGGTCATTGTCAGTGCACAGCCTTGTTACTTACACCCTCGCCAGGTCTTAGAACCTCCGTCTCCTTGGTCCCGGTCTCATGCCTGTACTTTCTAGGTTAATGAGAAATTAAATGCAGAGGGCAGCAGTTTCTTCTTTACCGGCTTTATCTAAAGAAGTTACAGCGCTAAATGTACAGTAGAAGCTCTGACCCTGAAGGAAACCAATGAAAATGTAGTAAGTCACAGCAATAGCTAGTTCATTCAATAAGAGTTTTAATTCAAACACAGGAGATCTCTGTGGAAAAGAGTATTAACTTGTCAACTTGTAGGTCACCTGATGGACCCCACCAGGAAAGTTCACAGCATGACAGAAATGCATCACTGCAAAAAAAATTTTATCCAAATAGTTGCAATTTTTCTTGAAATGAGGAGGTAAGACACTTTGCCAATGGAACAAGACAATTTCTATTTAAAATAAGATAAAATGACTGCATTGTCTTATTTCAGGTGCATATTATCTAATATTATCATTTAAAGCTTAAAATTGCTCATTCCATTGGCAAATCATCTTCTTTACCTGCTCAAATTGAGGGTTAATGCATCTAATTTAAAATATTTTTACTGATTTCTAGATTGTTTTTGCTGTGCTGGTCAGGTGACACTTTTGTGAAGAAAAAGAAAAAATTGCTTTATAGTCACTAAAGTCCATTAATGCAGATATTGCTAACTGGAGAGCAGTAGTATGAAGAAGTGAGGGAAAGTGTTCAGCATGATTTCCAAAGTATAACCGCACAGCAAGCCACCCGAACTATACTGTAGGGGTTAGCAGAAAATGTTTCAATCCTAGTCTTTAACTAGGAAACAACCCTTATAGGGTTACATAAGGTATTTAAGGTGACTTTTTTTAATATGTCAATTGTCTTAATCTTCAGAAAAGAAGCGCTACAGAGAGTCCTACATCAGTGATGACCTTGATATGGACCCACCGGGCAGTGAAAGCAGCCCTGGTCTGTCTCGACGCTCCACCGGCAGCTCGGGTATTGAAGCAGATGCACGCCAGCACAGCATCTGCACAGAGGTGACCTCCATGGGCGAAGATGGTCCACAGCAGGTAGAGAAGTATTTGAGCTCAACTACCAGCCACTACAGCTCCATGACCTCGGAGTCTGACACGGACAGTAAGGAACAAAGAGATGAGCAGCAGGGTCAACAGGAGGGAGGTGAGGATCTTTTCTTTCTAACCCGAAATGCTTAAAATGTTTGAACATGGATTTACATCCTTTTTTTTTGTCACACTGGAATACATCAAATCAGATGGATTTCGTTAGTGAAATCTGAATGCAGTTTTTATATGGATGTGTTCTTTATGTTGGGAGGGAAACTATCCAGATGCACGTTGGCCTCATGTGCTCCTTAAATGTTAAAAAAGGTCCTTCTCATTATGGCTAAATACCAACTTAATCATCAATATTCAAAGCGCAGTGCTGTTTTTTCTGAATATTTGTCTACAATTTTTCTTTGCCTTAAAAACAAAAAGTTGTTAAAAACATTTCTCCATGTAGGTTTAAATGTACTAACTTGATGTTTTCCATTTTGTAGAGCCCAGTGCTGGTAGTCCAGAGGAACTTCTTGTGGATGATTCTTACGAAATGTTCCGGTTGGCCGATCTTCTCGAAGGAGTGTCTGTGGATTTTCCAAAACGTTCTGCTAAGACTCCATCAGCAGGTACTGTTCAGATCCAACATTTGTAAACAGCTTTTATTCTGAAATTTGGTTTGCTTTAATTTCTGTCAAAATTGACCAATAAAATCATGTGGGCTCCACAGACAACCAAAGGCACCCGCCACAGGCTGTTCAGGATGCTATATTGCCTAACAACAAAAAGGTAAAACAGGTAAAGCTTCTGGCCTAAATGATCTTTCCGTCGAGATATGTTTCGTTATCTTAACCCCTTTCTTCTCCTTCTTTAACATGGATCCAGAAGTCCAGACCACACACTTCTACAGATAACCACAGCCACAGCCTAGACGATGTCCGTCATTGTCCCCCTTCTGCACCCATTGGGATGGCCTGGCCAACTGAACCGGCCCTAAGCTACACCTTTGGGCACCCAGACGTCCCACCAAACACAAGGACTTTGCTAGGTCCCAGTTATTACCCTGATCTGCACTGCCGAGCCAAGCCCTCCTTCTCTGGCCAAAGGCCTGCTAACCGCCTGGACACTTTGAGCGATGAACAGTATGTGGAAGTTATACTCTGAGAGCCCCGCTGAGCAAAACATCCAAAAGGTTTCCTTTATTTAGAGGCAGCAAAACATGAAGCATTCAATCTACTGTAAGTCTGTTTAGTGTCGCAAGGATTTTTTTTTATTGGTGGGAAATTATGGCAATTCTATTTTAAAGCTGTAACTCCAACAATGGAAACTAAAATGGTGACATTTCTGCAAATTAAATGACCATATTTATTTGTACTGTATATTTTGTAGATATTGCCCTTGTTTTATGAGCATACATTTAAATTCCACTGATTAAAAAGATATATTTTTTTATTGTCTTTTGTAAAGACCACCAAATGAACTTTTTTTTCTTTAAAAACAGTTTTTTTTTGTTTTGTTTTTTTACGATGTGTAATTCTGTATGTTTTTTCCTTTTTATAATTTCTTTAAACCTAATCCATGTATTCCAGTTATACATTTAACATTTAATGGGATGTAACTCACTCTCATGGCTTGTGGTCTATTATTGTAGTCGAATTTTATATTATTTTTGTAACTTGTATTTTTTTATCCTTTTATAATGTTTTGCTTTTTATGTGATTTTTGTCATGATTTTAATCTTCCACAACTATTATCTACTGCTGTGGGGGCAAAAAATTTAATTTCACAGATGGCAGTTTATTCGTCCAAAGGTTCTCCAGGCTACACTGTTCTCTCTATCTGCTTTAATTATAAGACAAATGTATTATTTGTTAAGCCGATTTCTGTAACCAGTAAGTTTGCGATAGATCTGCAGCATTATTGTGTTAAATACCTTCCCGCCCCCTGAAAGACAAAAAAGCCTTTGTCAATTTTTTTTCCCTCTGTACCATGGCACAGCATTGGTTATTTGTACAAAGTGAAGTGCTTAGCTAATATGAGCCACTTAAAAATATTTACCTATTAAATACACAGGTTAACTCAAAGCCAAATGTTGATGGAAAACTGTTTTAAATTCCAACATTTTATGCCTTACGTTGTTAAAAGCACTGCTTTTATTTTTGGATATATTTGAAAATAAATTCCTTATCATTTGATTTCTGTGTTTCTGTTTAATGCAGTTGAAGTCGACAGGAATTTTAAAAAAGGTTTTTATTTTTTTTCTCAAAGCATGCACTCCCTTCTTGCCCACTCCCTTTCTGCCCATAAAGGAATTATTATACAGTTGCAGGTTATACAGATATAGTCATGGAGAAAAATAATGAGACCAACAGTATTTTTTGTCAAATGTTTTTACAATAAATCCTGGAAAAAAAAATTGCAGTTTTTCACCCTTTTTGCAGAGTTAAGTAAAATCAATTAGAAATCATAAGGACATTGATTTTTAATGAAAAAAGTATAAAAATTTATATACATTACTATAAGATGATACTACTTCCTCATAGCTCTCATTGTTTCTTCCATAGAAAAACTATCAAAAATACTTTTATTTTACTGTTAAATGATAGACTTAGGAAGAGGATTAGCACCACTGAAAAAAAATGTATATAGGAGAAAGGTCAGAGTTTTCACTTTAATCTCAGAATTCTGACCCTTTTTTTCTCAGATTTCTGAGATTAAATTCTGAGAAAAAAGTCAAAATTCGGAGAGAAAAAAGTCAAAATTCTGAATTTTATCCCAGAATTCTGACTGTAATCTCAGAGTTCTGACTTTAATTTCAGAATTTTGAATTTAATCCCAGAATTCTGACTTTTTTTCTCAGAGTTCTGACTTTAATCTCAGAATTCTGACTTTTTTTCCCTCCGAATCCTGAGAAAAATTCAGAATTCTGAGGAAAAAAGTTGGAATTCTGAGATTAAAGTCAGAATTCTGACTTTTCTCCCATATTAAACTGAAATAAAATTTAAAAATCAGTTAACTTTTTTTTCCATTGGACCTTATCCTTTTCCTATCTTCCCTATAGACTTAACATTCAAAAAAAAAAGTAGATTTTTTTTATACCATTAAAATCTGGTAGTTCTATATATAGAGATTGTTTGAAACCGTTTGTTTGAAGTGGTGGTACCAAATAAAGCAGAATCGTATTCTAATTCACTCTCGCGAGAGTTATAGAATACGTAAGCGGAAGTTTACATTCCGGTTTGGAGAAAACGTGCAGCCTGTGACATCTGTCTGCTAAAAAGCCGGTGGAAGAGTATCGTCTCCGAGCCTGGCTCCAGCAGCCAAACCCTGAAACGATGTATTCCGCTTTAATTAACGCGGTTCTAAGAAGCTCTCCTGATTACAACCTTCTGTTTGAATCTCTGTGTTGGCCGGAGGACTCATTGCCGCAGACGGAGCTGGTGGAGTCGCTCACGGCTCTTATAGAAGCTCTCGCACCGTCTCTTACCATCCCGGATTTGGCTCAAGTTACATTGACAGATGCAAAAAGAAGATGCATTCATGACAAAATCGACTGGATCATCTGGTCGAAATGTCTTCCTTTCCTCCGCAAAATCTCAACCGAATCAGGGGGTGAAGATCGCTGCAGGCAGAGCACCGCCGCAGTCTGCAAATTACTTGCTGTCTCTGTTTCTGTCTGCGATCAAAAAACGTGGACAAAAGTGGTTTCTTCAACCCTGCCTTCCTTACAGTGGAGTCCAGAGGAGGAGCTGTCTGGAGCTCTGAGTGTGAATGTTGCTGCAGAAGTCCTGGCAGCTCTCATGCCTCTTCCTACAGCGGATGAAGAATTCACACTCAGCATTTTAAACTGTGCTCTGTCCTCCATCCCATCGCTTCCCGATAATCTAGTCTCCAAAGTTACCGTCAGGGTGATTTTAACTCTGCTAAATTGCTTCAGTGATGTAAGATCAAGCTGCTTCGCCACTCGGATCATGAACGCTGTTTGCAGCTGGCACTCCTCTGAGCGCTCAGCGGCGGTCACACAGCGGGCCCTGCTGTGTTTCACCGTCCTGTCAGACCACCTTCTAAAATCACACACAGTAACGTCAGACACTCGGTTCTGGACACTCGTTCAGGACGGACTGACCCACGGGGACAGTGTGTCACGCAAAAGGGCTTTGTACCTGCTGAAAAGATGCGTGGCGCTTTCTGAGGAGGAGGGATTTGATTCCTGCTATACATCAGAGGAAGGTAACATAGAGAACCACAGCCTGAAATGGTACAAAGTTGGATTTTATGGCTTAACTGCAAAGTAGATCACAGGCTGTTAAGTGGAGGGACAAAAATAATCTTTTTTTTTTTCTTCACTTTTTTAAGAAAAAAGGTTTGAAAAGAATGAGACCTTAGATACCTACGAAAGAGGATCAGGGCAACTGAAAATGTTTTACTGATTTTTACATTTTATTTCAGTATAATGTCAGAAAAAAGTCAAAATTCCGACTTTAATCGCAGAATTCAGACTTTAATCTCAGAATTCAGACTTTAATCTCAGAATTCAGACTTTAAACTCAGAATTCAGACTTTAATCTCAGGATTCTGACTTTAATCTCAGAATTCTGACAGCTAACAAACATGGTAGCATCAAGCTGTAGCCATGTCTGTTTTATAGACTAAACTAGCTCTCTTGTTTTAATCACCTCATGCTTTTCCATTAATGAAATAGCATCACCGGGGATCCCTCGCACGTAAAAAGTCGCCTAATTTTGTCATTTTCCACCAATGTGTTTCTGGCCCTCTCAAAAAACTCACATCTTTGTCAGTGAAGCTGAGTTCTCCCACATCTCTTCCTTTATGGTACCCATCTACATTTAGATCCAAAATTCTGACATTAAAGTCAGAATTCTGAGAATAAAGTCAGAATTTCACTTATTTATTATGCTTTACTATTAAGCTTTATAACTCAAAAAAATATTAAATCAGTTGTTATAATCGTGGCTTGAAAGTAGGGCTGAAACAATTAATTGGATTAATTGTGATTAATTGATTAGTGAGATAATCATCAACTAATTTAGTAATCAATTAACCATTTAGTGGAGTACAGAGACTCTAAAAGATGCCTTCAGCTTACAGAGCAACCCACTTAGAGCAGCAATTTAACCATAATTGTAAAAAAAATATGTAAGCATTTTGCATTTAACATAAGATTTCAGGAGCCTTTGGCTATCCAATGATTAATTGATTATTTAAAAAATTTATTGACAGATTAATCAATTTGCAAAATAATTGTTGTTGCAGCTCTACTGTAAGTAGATCAGTTACTCGGTGTTAAGTAGTCTTCTTACCAAATACTTTTTTTCATTTTTACTTGGGTAATTTCATTAAAGGCTACTTTTGACTTAAATGAAATATGATAAAGTAGTGCTACTCTTACTCAAGTACTATTTGTGGGTTCTCTACCATCCTCTGCTTACACTCCACATAAAGCTTGGCTTATTAATTTTTTTTTTTTTTGCAGAGGAGGCGTTGTTTAATTGGGCCCCTGACAAGAGTGGACTGCTAAGAGAGTTCTGGGAGGATTACACGCTGGTGATGGAGACGCTGGAGGAGAATCAGGTTTCAACTCTTTTACTGTAGACATTATTGTTTCACAACCTGTTTTTATGGCCGCAGTATAACTGTTTCTTTTTTTCTCTATCTGCAGGTTCATGTTGTCCGCCCAGTTTTAAACAGAATCGACACTTTAATTCAAGCAACAGTAAATGATAGTGAAGGTAAACCTAAAGTTTGTAAATATTGTTATTCTTTTTTTTTTTTTTTTTTTACGTATGACTTTATATTCATTTTTCTTTAAGGTATCATTTTTTTCCTTCACTAGATAATAGGGGAAGTTAAACCAAACTAACAAATGAATGTTTTGTCAATGCTGCTTTCTTAGAGGTTATATAAAGAATGTATCTAAGTTCCTGAGTTCACAGCATTTTTTTAAAAACTCACAGAAAGGTTTGTGTACTTGTACTCCAGAATTGGAAGAGTTTATTTATTTATTTATTTTGTAATTGTGAAAGATTGGGGGGAAAAAGTTAAAATGCACAAATAGCTTTCCAACAGTAGTTTTGGATTAATTTAAGCAAACCCGAGACTCTTATGAGGTTTTGGTTTTGTGACCCATGAAACAGTTTGTGTATTTTTTAAGAGATGTAACTTTTTTTGTAATTATAAAAGTTAGAAAAAAATCTGCAAATAGAAAACCTTTATTTTATTTCTCTCTGCAACTTCAAATTAACTGTTACAATGCACTAATTACATACCTTTTAACACTTATAGAATAGAATAGAATAGAATAGAATAGAAAATCCCTTTATTGCCCCAGAATGGGGAAATTTGGGTGTTTACAGCAGCAAAGGTTATAGTAAAATGGGCAACTTAGAAAAGTGTGTAAAAATAACAGGTAGGAAATTACATAGAGTACCAAGTATTTATAGTATTTAGAGTATTTATTAATTCTCTACATGCATCAAACTGGTAAAATCAGCTAGCATGTCTAAACACTATAATGAGTTTGTAGTGGATAGTGAGCTATTTAAAATAAATTGCCTAAATAATTTAAATGTGTAGACTGTTATTCAACGTGAATTTTCTAAATTAAGAATGTTGGAGATTGTTAATGGATGCCGGCCTGTTTTGATTAGTATTGTTTGGTGGTTTATATTTTTTGTTTCATGGTATTTGCACTTTGCATTGTTTTAGATTTTTTTTTTTTATGTCCTCGCGGGCTGCCGTAGCTAATGAGGGCAGGCCTGATAAAAGCTGGTAGAAACATTGTGCCAATGAATAAAATCAACACTTAGTGTTACCTATTAAAAGCAGTGAGTTACATTTTGTTTAGCTGTATTATAAGCTTATGTTTTGTATTCTAATATTTGTATATGTTTTAGTTTCCATGGTGACTAAAGAAACTGGTGACTGTGATGATCATTGTGGATCCACATCAAAGAAAATAAAACACTAAATGAACCCATTGGGACTGGCTGAGGGATTGAAGTGCTGGGGAGCTGCTACAGAGTTAAATGCTAGTTTGCTGACCTGTGTTGCAGGGTTAGGCCTGTTCCACCCCTCCTGGCTGCTGTGTGTTTACCAACGCATGTTCCACAGTGAGAATAAATCCTTGATGAGAGAAGGAGTGTGCCATCTGCTTGAGCTACAGGTTCTAAGGCAGTCAGCATTTGCTGCGGCATTTTCTCAGGTATTTGCTACAAGGCAATTCTAATCATTATTACAAATTAACCCCCGTTGACTTTCTTTCTACCTTAAATCATTTCTGTGATGCATTGCTCTCGTAGTTTGTCGTCGGTCCCTTTATGGACGTTCTCTCTGAAACATCCCTTTTCTGTAGGTGAGGATTTAAAAAAGTTTTCTTTAAATATCAATAAATCTGTGGACTATGTTTTTAACTTTTATTAGTTTTAAATAACAGCGCTTCTGGCTGTATGCAGGTCACCCGGGCAGAGTGTAGGAGATTGTCCGGAGCTGGTGGGTAAACTCCAAGTTTTCCTGGTCAACTTCTTCACGAGCCTGCCATCAGAGGACAGAGGTGCAGCAGAAGAAAAACACGTCTATGAGTCACATGTCCTACTCTGTTTCTAACTGTCATTTGCTCTGTAGGTTGTGTTTTGCTTCAGCTGATTCAGCAGCTCGGATCAAAGCACTGGTGTGCAGTACCACTCCTCTTCATCTGCCAGGCTTTGTCCAAACTCCCTCAGAGTCCTCTGCTGAGGAGCAGCGGGCTCTCTGCTCTTCGGTAACTTATTTTCTCATTAGGATTGTCTTTGGAACACATTATTTTAGGTAAAGAGGCTAATTCAGTTGATGATGTGGTTTCCAGGGAGGTACTTCGCTCCACTATGATCACCCATCAGGTCCTGCTGAGAGGAGCTGCACAGTGTTTTTTACTAAAGAGTGCCCTTTCTCTAATAGATGTGGTGAGATGATCAAGTTTGTTTGAGATAAATGTAACATCCACAAAATGACAGTGATGATTAGACACATTTTTTATTTTAAGGTTTACTAAGTTTTTAAAAACAGTTTGCCTAAGTGGGATTGATATTACATTTTAGGTGCAATTGCAGTTAGTTATTTGTATAAAGATAAAATGATTTTTCAGTCAAAGTAACCATTACATTAATTTTCTTAATTGTTTATGGTTAAATTATTTTTCAAATTTGGTGTAAATATTTTCTTTTGCTTATAGTGCTAATAAATGTTTTATATGATAATTTTCTACATTATTTGTCTGATTTTCCCTGTCAGAGTTCCAACTTTGTGTTCTTTTATTATTATTTGTTTTATTTAAAGATATAGTGGAGGATTTCATTCCTTTTTTTGAAAAGACCAGCCCTCTCCACTTAAAAAGAAATGCTCACGCACAACCCTGTACCGCTCCCATGAGGGAACACCTTATAAATGAGAGATCATGCATGAACCCATTTCTCCTCGTTCAACTCTGTTTTAAAGTTCCTGTTTGCATCGCTGATACAAGCCCACTTTCCAAAACAAGATTAGCAATTTTTCCACTATGTCAGACTCACCACTAGTAAGTGAAAATGCAGACGTGCACATAGGACATCCTTACGTAAACGTATCACCAGAATGATTGACAATTTGAAGGACCACTTACTTTAATTATCCTCCGCGGGGGAAAAAAAGTCCTCCACTATGCCTTTAAGACTTGAAATAATCTGACTTCCTGTGTCTGATTTCTTCAATGCATTTAAAAAGTTACTAAGTTTTACATTGCACTGATTTTACTCAACTTAATAATTCCCGTCCTTAAATAATATTGCTAAATTTAATGATATAAGTAAGATTAGTGACATAAATTCTCTAATAATCATGTTTTTATTATCTCAGAGTGAAGTTACCAGAGATGATGTGTTCAGTTTCCTGATGCATTTCCGTGCTGATGAGTCTTTGTGCAGAGGGACAACACTATGGAATGAGGTTTGCTCTTTTAACGCTCATTCAATCAAAATATATCCAATGCAGAAGTTGCAATAACTGATTGTTACTCCACATAAGTTGTGCATCTGGTTGTTGGAACATGATGGAAATTTCAAGCCCAGAATTCTGGATGGTGATTGCGTCGATGGCCCAGCACAAAAAGAAACAATAAGACTCTATGTTCAACAAGAAGTAATCGTTTATCTCCGTGTTCCAGCAAGCACAGGTGAGGCTTGTGTTTTACTGTATCTGTAGATGTGATGTGTTTGCAGATGATTCTAATCAAAGTCTGTCTTTCTCATGCATAGGTCAGGCAGAAAGGTTACCTGACATTAGAGAGGCTGATAAGTTGGCCAGGGCCATTCTGCTCTGTGTAGACATGGAGAGGAGGGAACTGAAGAAAGATGCCAGGGAAACTCTGAGGTCACTGCTGTCTCCACTCCTGGACACCCTGAGCAGAGTCTACACCAATATCTACCTGCCTGTCCATAAGAGCGACAAGAGTCTGCAGCTTATGTTAAGACTGTTGCAGCTCAGCACAAGGCCACGTTGTCAGCAGCAAGGATTGGAAGGTTTGCATTGATACAGCAGTCAAATATCCACTAATGTTGGTTTTAACACAGTAAATGGAATTCATACAAATATTCGATTTAGATAATTGAAGACCAGTCATTTTTTTCGCTGTAGGGTCCCTAGTGCTCTGAAATAATAATGTAAAATTGATTAAAAGGAAAAAAAAAATACTCTGACTAAAACAAATGTTTAGCATTCAAGAGGTTGTGGGTAAAAATCTCTCAAAGTGTAAAAACAGGGAAAATGCCATATTTCAAACATACTCAAAGAAGTTTGTCAAACAGTGATTCTGGGCGCTTAACATTTTTTTCAGGAAGTGTAACTCATCTTTCATCAAATACATATATTCCCCAAATAACCAATAAAATCTTTTAGCTGTAAAACAAATCAGGTAGTTTATGTTTCTATAAGCAAGCAGAAGGTTCCTAATCCTTCAGATTAGGACTTTTGGATACCAGATAGACAAGTTTACAAAGTTTGCTTATTGAAGCCTTTCCTGCTCTAACTGTTTTTCTTTGATTTGTTATTGTGGATAATTAGAGCTGGAATTAGAATCAGAATTACTTTATGAATCCCTTGTGGGAAATTATTTTCTTGCAGTGCAGCCATTTACAGAAGAGAGAAAAATAAGATTGTAAGACTGTACAAATAAGATATAAGATTTACATTAGATAAGGATTACATTATATACAATCAACAGTATTTACAATTTTCAATACTGCTCAGTACTAAATTACCAATATTGCACATGGTGGTGTTATTGCACACAATTAAGTAATTAAATAAGAAGTAATGAAATTAAATGACTTTCAGATCTGCAACCATTCTTTAAATTAAAGGTATAATGGAGGATTTTTGAAAAACTCTTACTTAGCTCTCTACTTTAAAAAAAATAAAACACATGCACAACCTTGTACCCGCACCCGAGAGGGAAAGCCTATTAAACCTGCGCGAGTGCATGCATTTCTCCTCATGCACGCTCTTTTTAAAAGTTGCTGTTTGCATCGCTCATAGAAGCTTATTTTCCAAAAGAAGATTTGCAATTTTTCTACTATGTCAGACTCACCAACGGTAAGTGAAAATAGGGACGAGCACGTAGGACGGCCTTACGTAAACATATCACCAGAATGATTGACAATTAGGAGGACCAATTATTTTAATGATCAAATGATAAGCAAAACAGCTTTGATATTAGTGCTAGATGTTTATAAGAATTCAACTTAAAGTGTCTAAAACAACAAAAAATAAAACTACAAAGTGCTGGAAGAGCAGAAGACAAATTAGACTTCTCATCGCTCCTTTTTCGGTTCAAAATTGCTTTGGAGCATAGAAATTAACAGACCAGAATTACAATAAAAGTATTCATACAGTGAGCCAAAGATAAGCATCTGTCCTATAAGGTGCCAACACGATATGCTACGCCAGCAGCAGCTTAATTCCTATCATTAGAAAAAACGCTTACTTAGCTTCCATGTTTGCAGTAAAAGGAAAACGTCATAAACGATGTCATCTACATCAGCTGATATAATTACTGTGTGTGTAAAAAAAATGAATAATTACTACCTGTGTCTTTTGACTGCTTAAAGCTTAAATGGTGCCTATGGATCAAAGTAGGAGGAAATAAACTTTAAGGAGAAAACATATTTAAAAAGATATAGATATATAACATCTTGGTCTATTCAGAAAAGGTAAAGGAATTATTATGTTTTTTTATTATTTAAAAACTAGAAAAGTTAGCTAAATGTAATAAAAAATGATTACTGAAACAACCACAATGATACTAAAGTATTAAAGGCCAATAACATTACAGATGGTGTCTAAATGATGATGAGGGGAGGAATCAGTGCAAAACATTTTGGTTTGTACCAGCTAACTAGACTAAACATTGTCTATAATCAAATAAAAAGAAAATGCTGCCTGTTAAAAGAATCAGTAACCTAATGGTGCATATTTTGGGTCTTTTTCTTATTTTGATTACAACTCTTTTTTGTGTGTGTGTGCAGAGGACGATTTGATGTTGGCCATTGAACAAGCTGTTGTTGAAGTCATGGATCCAGTCCAGAATTTTATCCTAAGGAGGCTCTGTGGGGAGCTGCAGGAGGTAATCCCACTGTGAAAGAGTATTTTTTAAATTAAAATAAGTACATTGAGGAGGTAAGTGAGGCACTTTGCCAATAAAAAATGACAATTTAGATTTTAAAATGAGAAAATAACAATTGCATTGTCTTATTTTAATGTAAATAATAATTTAATTGGCAAATCATCTTATTTACCTACTAAGGTTAAGGGTAAGTAAAATAACCCTAACCCTTAATTGAAGACATTTTTATGTATTTCTAGGTGGTTTTTGCAGTGCAGGAAGCAAAAAGGAATTCATATTTTTTCCTCCTTTGTCACAAACCCAGATGTCTGCGTTTTGCTTCTTCCACAGCTCTTTGACGTTGAACGGGCTGATCTGTATCTCTGTGTCCTGAAGCAGCTGGCTGCACTGAGCAGCTCTCTACCTCATGGCTCTAAGAACATTCATCAGTATGCTTCGCCTAAACTCATCATGTATAGCCTTTCAGTGTTAAAAAAGCCAACCCAGCAGGTACGCAGTTAAATATATGCTCCCCGTCATCAGGTTTGCTGCTCAGTAATTCAGCACAGACTGTTTTATGTTGTTTTAGATCCCCTCTGTTGCAAACCAGGTGTCTGAGGCGGTTAGTATGGCATCTTTGGCTGCTGTGTGTGATCTGCTGCAGCAGGGAGGGCCTAACATGTCATCAGAGACTGCCTCTGCCCTAAAGTCCCTCAATGATTATTTCTACACTTTTGACACTTCTACAAAATCTCAACCATCTCTTGGAAACATTAATAAACGTCTGATGAAACCACAGCTGTTAGATAGTACAAGGTTTGTGGAAAGTCAACAATAGAGTAAAATCATATTCATTAAATATCTAATAAATGTAAGACTCCCAGATTTAGAAGATTTTTCCCTTTTTTTAACAGTGACCTTGTGACTCAAGGCCTTCTGCAGCAGGACTGGGGGCGCATTGCTGCCAGCTTCCTGCGGGACCAGTGGGTTTGTCTAAACTTCCTGATCAGGTCTGTAGGGATCCCCAAAGTGTCTGAGACCCTCAGGGCTGCTCTGAGATGCAGCGTTGAGGCTCTGGCTCTGCTACCCAGTGACCTTGTCCTGCCTGTGTTGAACTTTATGAACATGGCGCTGCCACAGGTGAGTCTCACCACGGCAAGAATGAGATCTTGTCGGATCATGGAGGAGTTCTAGAATATTTCAGGATGGCTTCCCTTCTCCTTTATGACCTCTGGTTTGTTTTTCATCATAGCTGGTGGACGATGAGGAGGATCTCTGTGTGCAGGCTGTCAATCTGAGTTGGGAGCTTGTACAGGGGCTTAGCAACAATGCTCATGACTTCTGGCCAGCCTTACAAGGCTTCATTTCTATAGCCTTCCAACATGAGCTGCTGAAGCTGAACCATCAGCAGGCTCCAGCTCTGACCGCAGCGCTGAAAAGGGTGAATTACAGTTGGACAAAATAACTTCATCTTCTGTTATCCTCTACGGTTCTATTTCACATGTGGTTAAATGCTTGTTTTTTTTAGATTTTTACGGAGGTAGTGGAGCTGTCTCAGTCAAAAAGTGGAGTACTTGGTGTCCTAGTTCAGCACTGTACACAGACATGGCTGCCCGGTGAGGGAGGCAGCAGTGAGCTGGCTGATGGGATTTTTTCTAGCGTCTTTAACCACCTGGACATAGTCACTGAGGCTTGTCTATATGGACCAGTGTTCAGGAGAGATCAACGGTAAGTCCAAACAGCTTTCCCTTCCTGTTCCTTTATCTTCTTTTAACTATTATATGTTTGTTTTTTAAAGACTCATCCAAGATGTCCAAATATTCGTGGAGCAACTTGGTGAAAATTGTGCAGCTAATGTTGCAGTTGCTAGGTGAGTCAAGATGTGTAAGTTAACATGAACCACCACTAGAGGTCCCTCCTGGTGTGCTAATAGTTGTTGTGCTTCTCTCAGTGATAACAGGGATGATCAGCTACCCCGCACATGTGTGCTGACCTTCCTCAGCCGCCTGGATCCCTGTAATCAGCAGCATCAGAGGCTCATAGAGGAGTTAGTGGTGGAGTTACTGAGAAAGGTACTCGTTGAATAATGGGCGGGTCGGTAAATGCTGCATCCATGTAGGTTCCCTTATGCAATTTCTTTTCATTTCTAATGTTTTTTTAACAAAACAGCTTTAAAATCAATAATAGACTCATTTGTTACATCCTACTTTTAAAATAGATTTTTTTCTGTTCTTTTGTTTTTTTAGACATCTAACACAAAAGGTTATTTTTGTGTGCAGGGTTTACTTTATATGTCCCTATAATTATTAACTTGAAATTAAATCAAATGGTCCTTTAAAATGTATGATTTTGCTGAGCTTCTTTTAACAAATTTTTTTTTTTTATTACAAAATGAACCCAAGGTTAAATTATTTAACATATTTTATCGCATTTGGAGTGTTTTAGGATAATTCATTTCTTATGACTAATACAATTTTTGCTTGTTTTAGTTTCTTGACAAGAAGCTAATTTATATTTCTGTGAAAATGTCAATATATTACAAAGTGACCAGTCAAACTAATAATTTTCATTTTTAATCCCATTCCTCAAAAATCTGGAAAACTGACATTGTATGTTTGCATGCAGTGAAGGGAAGCACATATAACAAAACAAGCACTTCCTCATCCTGAAAGGAAAAACACAAAGTTTCATCTGTCTCTTAAAAGGAAAAAAACCGAGCAACTAAGATAAATGGATGTTGATTTTCATGAGCCAAAAAACAAATATTATCACCATGCAGAGGAACAAATTTGCCTGCATACAAATTTCTTCCATTTGACAGGAAAAAAATAGAAAAAGATTAAATAGAAAATGCAGTTTTCAGAGAGCTAAAACCTAATAAGAGGTTTTGCTACTGCTGGGGGCAATAACTTTCATCGAGTGTTAATAGGTGTTTTACATCTCCTTTAAGGAATTTTTCTACATGGACAGCTTCTATTTAGATCAGGTCTAGTGGTAACAGACAGTAATCACTAAAACAATGCTGTCTAAAAATATGGTTAATCACAATAATTCCTATTTTAATGATGGGGTCTCATTAAGCCAAGCTTTATATAACCGTCTACTTCATAAATAAAATAAATACTTGGGTTATTTTTGTCCGGTAGTAAAATTTTATTTTATCTCAAACATTTGACCATAAATAGATCATCTGGAAGTGAGATAAAACCTTCACGGTGATCTATTCCAGCTATCAAAGTGTGAACTAATTCAGCCACCTCCATCTCCACAGGACAGCCTCATATCCAAGGCTAAAGTCCGTTACTATAGCAACTCCCTGCAGCATCGCATCAAAAACAGAGCATGGCAAACACTGCTACTGCTGCTTCCCAAACTCAGAGAGGTTAGTAGAAAAGAGCTTCAGTGACATTTTTTCTAGAAATATCAGTTTTAGGATCAAACCTTTTCTGTCTGTGTGCAGGAATTTGTTGCGCCTCTGTTGAACAGCGTGTTTGAAGCTGGATTTTGTAGCAACCAGCCTTCTGTGAAGTACCTGATTGAATGGATGATGATTCTCATCCTTGTCAAGTATCCTCATCATTTGGACAGATTCTGGACCTGCTTCAGCTTTGTGAGCTCATTTTGTAGATAGATAACCAACTGAATAAAATTGCATATTATTAATTCCTTTTTTCTCTGCAGGACCACGAAAAGACCAAGACCAGCATTTGCACCTTCCTGTCTGTCCTGGTACACATAAGTGTCATTATTCCACATGTTGAGGATAAAGTAAGGCCATCTTTATTTTACTGCTCTATATGACTGTGTTATTCCTCTGTGCTTATGTCGATTTGATTTTCCATTTTTTCTTTTAAAGGTCGACCAGCTGCGTAAAGCACTGGACATCATCCTGCAGTCGTGTTTCAACCACAACTTTAGTGTGCGTTTGTATGCCTTAGTGGCCCTGAAGAGGGTGTGGAGCCTTGCAGAAAGCGTGACGGAGGCTGATGCCTTCAGAGGACTGTCGTCTGTGGTGACGGCTTGTCTGAACCAGGCTGAGGCCATGCAGAACTCTGGGTTAGAGCTCAACACCTGCAGCAGGCTTGTTTTGTAACCGTTACAATGAGCTTATTTTAAGATGCATTTGCTGTTTTTTTTCCTCTTAGAAATGCCAACAAGAACTGGCTGAGGATTCAGGGGCACTTCTTCTTCAGTGCTTTTCATCCCATCCGGGATTATAGTCTGGAAGTAGGTTCATTGTTTTGCAAGATCTGCTGAAGCACAGGTGGTAAAATCATCTGGCTTTCCTGTTTTTGTTTGTTTTTCAGACCATCTTCTACACGTTTCCTAGTCTGTCAGAGTTGGCTGATGATGAGTGGATCCCACCATGGAAGTTTGAAAAGCTCTCATTTGCTTGTGAAAGTCTATCAACGCCGTTGAGGAATCCTGCTCCAGATTTGGGCCGGCTCCAGCCTGGAGATTGGGTCCAGCAAGACCGAAGTACAGTGATGTTTCTTTTTAACAGTAGGACTCGCTAAACGTCAAGGTTAGCTCACCCTCTGCTTACCGTTTGTGTTTATTGTTGCATTTCCCAGGCGAGCAGGATAAAGAGGAGCGCTGGGCTGAAGTGCAGAAGAAGATCACGCCCTGGAGGTTGGGGGTCCATGAGCAGGAACCTGAACTAAAGCTGGTTCCAGCACAGAGGGCTGCTCGGCTCGGCAAGCAGCACGGCACCCTGCTGGTGGTGGCCTCACTGATCGACAAACCCACCAATCTGGGAGGTGAGATCCACTGACTTTACTTAACATGCAATCTAAGCTTTACAAAAAAGTTGTCTTCTCATCTTTGAAATAAACAAAAATACATTTATGTCAAAGAATATGAACATCACCTTACAAACCTATTCAAACCCTTTTTATCAGTATATCTAAACATTTTTGATGGGCTGTTTGTTTAGATCCACTCGATCCATCCCCACAGCATGAATCTGCCATCACCATGTGTCAAAATAGAGATTTTCCTTCCAATTTATTCCTACCATATTCGGTAGAAAATGTAAAACCTTTTCTGGGGTTTTCACTAAAGAAACATCATAGATTAGATGAGTCTGAAACTTTTCGCATTAAGCTTTATTTTCTTTAAATGTGCTGTCTGTCTGATGGATAGAAGACAAAATGACACTTTCAATACATGGAAGATTTTATTGTAACAATAATTTTAACTTGGAATTAAATCAAATGGTCCTTTAAAATGACTTGATTTTGCTGAGCTTCTTTTAACATTTTATTTTTTTTTTATTACAAAATGAACCCAAGGTTAAATTATTTAACTTATTTTATCGGATTTGGAGTGTTTTAAGATAATTCATTTCTTATGGCTAATACAATTTTTGCTTGTTTTAGTTTTTTGACAAGAAGCTAATTTATATTTCTCTGAAAATGTCAATATACTACAAAGTGACCAGTCAAACTAATAATTTTCATTTTTAATCCCATTCCTAAAAAATCTGGAAAACTGACATTGTATGTTTGCATGCAGTGAAGGAAAGCACATATGTGATGTGTCAAAATAGAGATTTTCCTTCCAATTTATTCCTACCATATTCGGTAGAAAATGTAAAACCTTTTCTGGGGTTTTCACTAAAGAAACATCACAGATTAGATGAGTCTGAAACTTTTCGCATTAAGCTTTATTTTCTTTAAATGTGCTGTCTGTCTGATGGATAGAAGACAAAATGACATTTTCAATCCATGGAAGATTTTATTGTAACAATAATTTTATTGTAACAATAATTTGAGCTTATAATAATCTATATTACATGGAGCAGACTTTATGAAGGTGTTGGCTTGTCTTTGTGTTGTTCCAGGTCTTTGCAGGACATGTGAGATATTTGGGGCCAGTGGTCTGGTTCTGGACAGTCTCCACCATCTCAATGACAAACACTTCCAGTCCCTGAGCGTCTCATCCGAGCTTTGGCTTCCTTTGTTTGAGGTGAACTTTGGACATGAACTTTATCACTATTTACTATCCATTCAAACATCGCATAAGTTTTAAAGCCACAAAGTGCATCTTTGGTGGAGGTAGAGTTCTCCAACAAACAACTGATGTAACCAGAGGGGATAGAGAGACAGTTGGAGTTTGTTTATGAATTAATAGACTGACTGACAGTAAGTGGTTACACTGGATTTAGATTTTTTTAATAAAGTTAGTTAAATACAAATACAGCACCACTTTTTAAAGGTTTATTTGTTAGTGATGTATTTGTTAGTGATGAATTATTTTGAACATCGATTTTTTTTTTTTTTTTTTTTTTGATTAATCGGATAGCAAAAGGTTCCTTTAAGAAGACTTTTTACTAAATTAAACCAGATGAAACTAAAACTAAAACGTTTCCACTTGAGGAGTTCTGGATAGAGTATATTGACAGACAAAAAAGATTTTTATCTTAAATGCAAAATTTTAACTTTTTTTTTTTTTTTTTTTTTTTTTTTTTAACAATTGCTGCTCAAAGTGGGTTACTCTGTCAGCTAAAGGTACATTTTAGATTCTATACTCCAGTTAACGATTAATCGATTACTAAATTAGCCCTAGTTTATAGTTTTTTTTTACATATATGTCTATCTGTAAGATAAATAGGAAAATACCAGTAGGGAGAGACTACATATAAAAGGAAGAGCTGATCTAGATGATCGTCCCACTGTTTATCACTGATTTACTGTGATCTATTTCTCTGTGCAAACACTACTTTTTTTTTCTTTTTTTCATTGTGATGCTATGTTTGTATCATCAACATAGCTCTGTCTTCCTCCAGGTGAAGCCTGTGGAGCTCACAGATTTCCTGCAGGTAAAGAAGAGCGAAGGTTACTGTATCGTCGGCGTGGAGCAGACAGCCAATAGTCAGAGCCTGCAGGACTTTAAGTTCCCTGAGAAAACGCTGCTTCTTCTGGGGTATGACAGCACTAAATATATCAAGTTTATAAACAGGGTCAGTTGCTGTTTTTAGTTTTTTTCCACCCTTCTCTTTCCTCCACACCTTTCGGTATCCCTCAGTGAGCTGACGAAGCCACTTAGTGTTCTCTCACCAGTTAAGTTCTTGCCCCTGCGAGGCTTCCTCCCCCCCTTCGCCTTGTGTACCTGTCGGGGCACGCTTCCCTATAATTGGCTCTCCCTGAGGGGAACGAAGGATACGAATTACTCAAACTGACACAATGAGGGTGATTACAAAAGACAAACCTGTATTATATGTTACATTTAGTGGCACCAAACTTCTTCTTTACATCCCAGTTGAAATTTTTGATCAGACAGACTGTTTTAAAACTGTACCTTCTTCATATGGTGGTGATCATGAGGCAGAAGGAGAACAACACTTCCACACCCACACCCTACACACACAAGTAGGCATTCTAGTTTGTTTAGCTCCGTTCAAACACTGAAGCCCTGCTGTTGGCGTAAGCACCTTGTGTGTAAACTCTCCCTTTAATGCTCCCACCGCTGCACTCAGCTCTGCACAGCATGGCCTGACTCTAATTTCCCATCAGCCTTTCTATTGTCTCAGCCACTTGCCCTCCAGATAAATGTAACCCATCAACAAGCGTTTGCTCGCTGTGAGGCTGACTGCTGAGATTAGATGCCAGACGCTTATTACCCTTTTATGTTTACTTTGCATGGCTGATATGGGACAGTGTATGTACTCTCTTTATTACAGTTTTATTATTGGAATTGAACGGAATTATTATCTTTATCAAGAGCTCAATTTTAATGTAGGGGGTGGGGTGTTAAATAAAACAAAAAATAGGACCTAGTGAGATTTTTTTTTTTTTTTTTTTTTTTTTAAATTCACGAAATCACAAACTCCAGTGTGTGTTACTTGGAGTTAATGTGGTAAACCGACATCCATTAATGCATAATTATGAAGCAGAATGATGAATGCACAGTTTTTTTCCCCCTGAAAATGTGAAATGTTTTTGTTTAATTCAGCTCCGTTAAGTCAGTAGTGTGTAGCAATAACAGCTGCAATTTTGTAGGAAAACGTCTGTGATCAGAAACTTTTTAGCCACTCTGCTGATGTTAAAGGCAGTTTGGTACCCAGTTTGCGCTGGGTTTTATTTAGGGGCAGCTGATTTAAGGGGGTTGAATTTGTTGCATACCATCGTCTAAGAGTATACTAAAGCTTTTGTTTTGGGTGGTCATATAAAATCCCAATAAAACCTAACCTGATATGTAACCCAAACGATTGCAGTCAGAGAGGTGGGACCTTTTCAAAGGACTATAATAACAAATACTGAGTTTATATATTAATTATCTCTGAGCTTTAGGTTAATCCTTTTACCTTTGAGTTTTATTATGATCCATTTAGTTTTTTATTCATTAGTTTTATAAAAAGAGGTATCAATGACCAAGCAGACTAAATTGGTGATTTTTTTAAAAACTAAGACAAAACCCTTGTTTAATTAAACAAAATCTCTTACACAATATATTTTTTGTCTGTTTCTTCTTCATAGCAATGAGCGGGAAGGTATTCCTGCCAATTTGCTCCAGATGTTAGACGTGTGCGTGGAGATCCCTCAACAGGGGATCATCCGTTCCCTCAACGTGCACGTTAGTGCCGCGCTGTTGATCTGGGAGTACACACGGCAGCACCTCATCACTGGAACAAATGAAGCCGACTGATGTTGCTCCTAAACAAACTTCCAGAATCCTGTCTGGGTTCATTCTCATCTGAACAAATTTTATGCCTTAACAGGATCCTTTCATGGGAATCAGTTATTTTAACTAAATGTTGCTCTCAGCCGTCTGGAAAACCAATGGAGGCCGTTTCTGTGTTGCAGAGCTGCTGCATAAACATGTATTTGTTACTCTGACATGTTGTTTTTTGACTTTATTTAAAACTATATTCTGTTATAGATTTTTGCTACATCTTCTATAGTCTAAATGTTTTTTTATTCATCTTTTGAAATTAAATTGTACTTTTTGAAAATAAAGAAAATGTATTTTTTATGTTTGGCTTCACCTGATTTCCTTTTTAAAATATTGAGGAAAAAATAAGAATACAAAAAGAAAAAACTTGAAATGTTTAGAGAACATTCATGTTTGCGCATGTACATCCTCCTCCCCTCGTATAAAAAGCATCTGGTTTACCTGGTGACCGTCATATTAGCTTGAGAGCAAATGGATCACAGGGGATAGCAATCTTTTTTTTGTTATTCCAAGCCAATCCTGCTTCTGGATTCTTCAACATGTAAAGGCAGCAGTTAAATTATATTAATATGGACGATCTGGATGGCTTCAGGTCACCTCTGCAGGCTGCAGGGATCAACACCAGCAGAAGAGAAGATGCAAAGGATGGGATGTCCAAACAGACCCAGCTGCTCCTGCAGGCTCTTATGGTTCTCATGTGTTTGGGAGCCATCATAGGTACAGTACTGACCTGTGGGAGGTTTACTTTATCTTTCATTGTTTATTGTTTCATTTAGTTGTCTACTTTGAAAAAAAATATTTTTAAGAAAGCATTGCTTAATTTAAGAAAACTTAAGTTACTACCATACTCAGTTTGCTTCTATAAATGGGACCAATTCACTGCAAATAGAAGAAACATTTTAAAACACTACAGTTGTGGCCAGAATTTTTTGAGTAATTGTCTTTAATTAGTTTTGTTGAATCATTGTTGTAATAACATAAACTTCTACAGTTCAGCATCAGCTAAAAAAAAATGCCTTCTGCCATTTTGCCTTCTGTCATAATGAAGCTATCTGCTATAATTCCAGTATCTTGATTTAAAATTGTGGGTGAGCCCAAACCAAATGAACTTTATCTAATTTCTCTGTGACTTCCTTGTGTGTTTTCCAGTCAAGCTCTGTATTTATGGAAACACACTCTCAGTTAAATCCCCTTCAGGACTTCCTCCTGTCACCTACATTCTCGGCACACTACGGATTTCGTCAATTAAATCCCCCTTGAAGAGTTTGAAGATTAAATCAGCCACAGATTTGGGTAAAGCAATAATCTTACCTGTGAGGCTTTTTTTTAAGCCTCTGTTCTCTTGAATGTGGTAAAGGTTGAAAAAAGCAAAAGGATTTCTTTCAGCTCTCCCTTTTAAAACCTTTCTGACCTTTCTTGGATTAACAGATTGATCTCTACTGGCCTACCTTTTTACTTACTTTGCTAACAATAAAGCTGTTTTTATCAGTGCTAAAATACAAAGCAATAATTATTAAGTTTAAGCAACTTTGTAATAATTCCATTTCATCTAATCGCTTTCCTCAGCAGCTGAGACTAAATGCAAAATGCCAGCAAAACCAAATAAACTTTTCTTTCAGTCTCAGTCATTAAGATCAATGGGAAGCTGGCTGTTTTTTTTGTATTTTGGAAATTCTGCATAAAAATGTGTCTTCATGTGTGATCGTTTTTTCCAGTAAATTAGTGCAGAAGGGAAGGAAAAAGAAATCTAAACATTTCTCTAAAACCACTCTGGGATTTTAAAAGGAACTTTAACAAGGCATCTTTTTTTAGTAGCAGTTTTTGAAGTAGTGTTTTTCTACTTGCAGAATTGTGTTGCCACGGCTTGGGAGACATTTCTAAACTTTTTTTTTTTTTTTGCCTTATTTTGTTTGCTTTCTTTAAGTCCAGCCTGGGTGACCTTTGACTAACGGTTTGATTCTGGTTGATGTATTTTGATGCAGGCAATGCTCTCGTCATCGTTATTGTGGCGGCCACCAGGACCCTCCATGCAGTGACATCTGTTCTGATCCTTAACCTGGCCATCAGTGACCTCCTGGTCGGCATCGGTGTCATGCCTTTTGTTGCGATGTCCATCCTAAACACCGGATGGGTGCGGTGTCCTGTAAGTGTCTTCTGTTTAATAATTGAGTGTGATGAAGCCTCTTTATTTGGATGCACTGACTCTTGATCTTTTCTTCCAGGTTCTCTGTTTGTATGTGGGGTACTCTTCCACTGTGTACTGCTCAGCCTCTGTATTCACACTCACTGCTATCGCTCTTGACCGCTATTACTCCATCATGGACTGCCTGCGCTATACTTCCCGCTGCACCCTGTGGAGGATTTGTGCTGTGGTCCTATGGATTTGGCTTCAGGCCCTTGTTGTCTGCAGCTGTCCTCTGATGGGTTGGGGCTCTGTCACCTATGTGGTCCCCATGTATAATTGTGCCATCACCTGGGCCACCACTCTTAGCTTCACAGCTTTCATGGCTGCTCTCACCTATCTGATACCAGCAGTGGTGATTCTCTTCTGCTATGTGAACATTATCAGGGTGGCCCGCAGCCATGCCAGGAGGATCCATTCACTGGAGGACTCTGTCCAGCGCAGCAGGTCCCCCTGTGTTGTCAGGGATTCATCCCAACAGCCACGTATAAACCTGCATAGACCCTGGAGTCTTACATCTCACATAAACGAGGACTCTGGAGATAATATTAGCCAGGTTGGGCATGCATCTCCAACACAGCAGAAAACAACTACAGTCAGGAGTTTGTTTTCCATCAGACTGCAGACATCAGAGTCAAACAACCAGCAGCGCCACCATGGAGCGGTGCGCCTCCTTCTCATCATCTCAGCCTTCCTCCTATGCTGGACACCCTTCATATGTGTGGCTCTGGTTCAGGCCACAGAAACTGCCATTAAAGGCCAGTCTACTCTCGTTCCAGACTCTGCCATCACCTTCTCCTACTGGCTGATGTTGCTTAACTCTGATGTCAACCCTTTGCTTTACGCTCTGCTCAGCCAGCGCTTTCAGAGCGCTCTTAAGGGAATTGGGTACAGGATCAGAGCTCATGTGTGGAGCACACTGGGCAGAGAATGGGAGGTCAGAGTAGAGGGGGATGATGTCAGGAACAGTGACCCTTGCTCCCTGACTACAACCCAACACAGTTCACATTCCAGCACAGACAGTTTGAACTTTGACCCCTCCAAGTACTCCTCTTCTATTTTCTCCGTTAGCGCTGCCTTTAAAAGACACACTGAAGTGCATCTATGTAACATGTGCCACCATGAAAACTCCCCCTCTGTGTCCCAGGATGCTGTCTGTGAGAAGACAAACAATCTGCAGGTCCCTTCTCGTCCTCTAGAGGGCAGCAGACTTCCTTTCTCTGCTCTAACCAAGGAGCAGCGGGCCACTTTTTCCTTTGGCCAGGTCACAGTGACTGTAGAGCATGATGTCTGTTAGTATTACCCATCTAGGAATATTATCAATGAGGTCATTTATTTTAGTAATTCAGCAAAGACATACAGATTTATTAAAACACTGATTTCTTTTTCCATCACTTGTGTTAAATTTAGCTTTAAAGCTACTTAATAAAAACTTTTTGTGGTGCATAAAGCAAAGAAGAATATAAATTATAACATAGAAAAAAAAGCCTACTTAATAGTATTTCCATTTACTGTATAGACTATGCATTTAGTACTGGGTTGGGGCTACTTTACATGAATTACTGCCTCAGTGCAGAGTATAAAGGAAATGATTGGTCTGTGGATTTGTGTGGTATTAACCTTCAGCTGCATTGGTAGATCTGATGTCTCTCATTTTCCTGTTGAAACACTCATAATGAGGTTTATGTCTGCAGAGTCATACAATGTCATTGAAGTAGGTTTTTGTACTTTTTGTTGTGCAAAAAAATGCCAAAATGATATCAGTATCATTGAACTTGTTAGAATATGAAACTAATACTTCCCAGTAGAAAGCTTCAATGACTTAAATGATGCTCAGAACTGAAAGCAAGATATGCATCAGCTGAATGCGTCTGTCTGTGTCTGTTGTCCTGCAGTTGAAGGGTCATGAATCTTTTTTATTTTGTTTTATAATTCTCTTAGAGCTGAGGTTAAACCTCTGCACCTTCTAGTCTTTAAAGCTCCGCCCTAAGCTGTAACTTTCTTAACAATGATTTTGTTGTAATTTCTTTTTGAGCGGTCATGATTTGTGGAGTTCCCCCTTGATTACATTGATCATAACAAGAATAGAACATAGTAGTTCTGTGTAAATAATGTTTTTATTGGTATTCATTAATTTTGTTATCTACTTACCGGTATGTTGTGTTTTCAGTGGCTGTGAGCCAAAATCATTGAAACTAACAGAAGTTACTATTGACAATCTGCCTGTTTGTAATATATCTACATAATTATGTAAATTATTTTCAATTTTAATGAATAACTAAATTAAATAACTTTATATATATACGGTATATATAATCATATTTTTCAAATGCACTTTTATGTAACTCCGGCATAGCAAACGGTGGATTAAACATCAAAACTTCGACAGATTAAAAATTGTCAGCTTCTGTCCCAAAAGGATGATTGTGATGTCATAAATGGTTATGTTTGTATCCTAACATGTCCTGTAACTACTTTCTAAAATCCCAAACCATCTTGGTAAATTTCATAAAGTTTTAAAAATAACACATCTAAATTTCTTCTTCCCCGCTTTTAGAAAAAACAAAATAAACAAATAAAAATAATAGACATGATGCTAATATATCAGATGTGCTAATAGGGACTAAAACTTGTCAGGGAGATTAGTTTTGGATCATTAAGTTTTAAATTGCTTAAGTAAAATACAAAGCTGAGGAGAACAAACCCTGTGAAAAACCATATCAAAACCAAATCTTTTTATATGGTACATGTAATCACACTTAAAGACAGTCAGTAGCGGATCTAACAAATCCATCATTTATTTACGCTCTAAATATTCACTCCTCAGATGTGATATAACCATGTGTAGCATCATCTTAGTGTAAAAATCTTTCCTTACAAAGGTTTACATTTAAGTCTTGTGATAATTCCAGAGGAATACAATATAATAATTTATTGCCATAGAGAATGACAATGGGAAACAGTGCTGAATGTACTGTATTGCAAAATCCTATAAATGCAGTAAAGTTGACATTTCAGCTGGTACGTGCATGCTCATTCTGTGGGTATCAGTCGTTTCCTCCTTGATATCCTAGAAGTCCTTGAGGTGGGTCAGCCACCAAATGAAAAACAAAAATAAAAAAACTAGTAAAAAGTCTTCAAGAAAATGTCCCCACACAGAAAAGAGAAACAACTTGTCCAGATGAGATCAGGGAGTGTTGCAATAAAGCGTATTTCTCTGCAGCAGTTTGGTGGCACTGCATTAAACAAAACAGCCCGTAACCAGCATTTGTGGAGTGATATTCATACATTCACAAGAAAGCAGAGTTCACAATTGTCACTTCACAGGGTGAGCGCCTCAACTGCTCTTCTGCTTGTCCAAAAAGAAAAGAAAAGAAAATGTCCAAAACATAATCACTAACAGAGAGGTAAAGAAATGTTTGTGTAGAAAAGGAGGAGAGGAAATCCAAGCTATGTTTCATTAAACCTCATCTATTCTTTTCTCCAAAGAATTAAAAAGTTTAACTGAACTGTTATAGCTCTGTTTAAGTGTCCAAGAGTCTTGAAAGTGTAATGTGTTCAGTAAGAGGTTTAACTTCTCTATTTCGTGTACCCTGCCAGTTCTGCAGTAAGTTTTTAAATGTACCCAAACTTTGGGTCTCTTTAAGCACATTTAAATGATTTTCACTTCAACAGACAATTTGAATCTCAAGCACTGAGTGAGAATATACTGAGTGCCTTGCAAAGGTATTGATATTTTGTTAACCTTTACACATTTAGTAACATATCAGTCTCAAACCAATGCATTTGTTGGAGGATGATTTTGTTATATACCAAAGCAAATTAACAAATGATGGTAAAGTGGAAGGAAAATGATTGATCGTTTGCAGAAAAGGAAATCCCACGGTCCACATGTCTTGGACAGAATTAAAGTGAGCTTCATCAGGTCTGAGCCTTGCTTGGATCATTAGGTGTATAAAATACATTTAGAATAACTTCACTAGTGATTGTTAAGGACCTGTGGGGTCCACAATATCGCCCTCCAGGTCCTGAGTCACTAGCCCTTTGTTTCACAGTTCAAAATGTTAACAAAGCCTACAGGTGCTGGTCATAAAATTAGAATATCATGAAAAAGTAGATTGATTTCAGTAATTCCATTTAAAAAGTGAAACTTGTATATTATATTCATACATTACATACAAACTCATATATTTCAGATGTTTATTTTGTTTAATTTTGATGATTACAAATGACAACAAATGAAAATCTCAAATTCATCATATCAGAAAATTAGAATATTACTGAAGACCAATAAAAACAAAGGATTTATAGAAATGTTGGCCAACTGAAAAGTATGAACATGAAAAGTATGAGCATGTACAGCACTCAGTATTTAGTTGGGCCTCCTTTGGCCTGTATTACTGCAGCAATGCGGCGTGGCATGGAGTCGATCAGTCTGTGGCACTGCTCAGGTGTTATGATAGCCCAGATTGCTCTAATAGTGGCTTTTAGCTCTTCTGAATTGTTGGGTCTGGTGTATTGCATCTTCTTCTTCACAATACCCCATAGATTTTCTATGGGGTTAAGGTCAGGAGAGTTTGCTGGCCAATTAAGAACAGGGATACCATGGTCCTTCAACCAGGTACTGGTAGCTTTGGCACTGTGTGCAGGTGCCAAGTCCTGTTGGAAAATGAAATCTGCATCTCCAAAAAGTTGGTCAGCTGCAGGAAGCATGAAGTGCTCTAAAACTTCCTGGTATGTGGCTGCGTTGACCCTGGACCTCAGAAAACACAATGGACCAACACCAGCAGATGACATGGCACCCCAAACCATCACTGACTGTGGAAACTTTGCACTGGACTTCAAGCAACGTGGATGAAGTGCCTCTCTTCTTTTCCTCCAGACTCTGGGACCTTGATTTCCAAAGGAAATGCAAAATTTACTTTCATCAGAGAACATGACTTTGGACCACTCACCAGCAGTCCAGTCCTGTTTCTCTTTAGCCCAGGCAAGACGCTTCTGACGCTGTCTGTGGTTCAAGAGTGGCTTGACACAAGGAATGCGACAGCAGAAACCCATGTCTTTCATACGTCTGTGTGTGGTGGTTCTTGAAGCACTCACTCCAGCTGCAGTCCACTCTTTGTGAATCTCCCCCACATTTTTGAATGGGTTTTGTTTCACAATCCTCTCCAGGGTGCGGTTATCTCTCTTGCTTGTACACTTTTTTCGACCACATCTTTTCCTTCCCTTCGCCTCTCTATTAATGTGCTTGGACACTGAGCTCTGTGAACAGCCAGCCTCTTTAGCGATGACCTTTTGTGTCTTGCCCTCCTTGTGCAAGGTGTCGATGGTCGTCTTTTGGACAACTGTCAAGTCAGCAGTCTTCCCCATGATTGTGTAGCCTATAGAACTAGACTGAAAGACCATTTAAAGGCTTTTGCAGGTGGTTTGAGTTAATTAGCTGATTAGAGTGTGGCACCAGGGGCCATCAATTTTGAACCTTTTCACAATATTCTAATTTTCTGATATGATGAATTTGAGATTTTCATTTGTTGTCATTTGTAATCATCAAAATTAAACAAAATAAACATCTGAAATATATGAGTTTGTATGTAATGTATAAATATAATATACAAGTTTCACTTTTTAAATGGAATTACTGAAATCAATCTACTTTTTCATGATATTCTAATTTTATGACCAGCACCTGTAAATATTGTTTTTTTGTTCATATGTCTTAAGGAGCTAATAGCTGTAAAACCATATAAAAAGAGGAGTGGATGCTGAACCATAGAGGAAAACTGAAGCTATCTCATCTGTTTAGTTTTATTATTTTTGTGGCTGATGCTCAAATCTCCATCACACAGTTTTTTCATTCGAATTTCAGAGAGGTTGAATATCTTTTAAGAAAGATGAGAGGAAGTCAATTTGTCTTGTATTTAATCACTTGGGCATCAACAAAAGGGGAAATGAGGTGGTGGCAGCATCATGATGCGACAGTGTTTTAAGCAGGGATGGGACAACTGGAGAAAGGGTTGGATTAGGGATGTTTATATGTTACATTCAGAATCGATGATTTTTGGCAATAAACCTTGAAAGGCATTAACCATCCAGCCTGGTTCACTTCGTCTTGGTATTTTGGAAAGACTTGAACAAGAATTGTACAGTTTTGAATCAAAGGACATCTTAACACAAATACACTCCGCACTTTTTAGATTAAATTGAAACCTATTACCCTTTTCCTTCCACTTTACAATTTTTGCTCAAGTTCTTGTTTGTCTATCACAATAAAGCATTAATAAAAACAGGAGAATGTTTGTTATTGGAGAAATATCTCCAATTACCAATAAAAAAGGCCATTATTATCCCATAATGGCCTTATGATGCCAGCAAAGACTGTAGATGTGTAGCCTTATGAAAACACACATTGTCAGGGGGGGTTCAAAAATATGGGTTTTTAGCTTTGATTGTTACTTTGATCCTTTTTACACCAAAAGAGCCCATCAGGCCCACAAGTCCCCGGCCAGTCAAGCTATGTAGAGCAGAGAAAAGGCATGTTTTCATCGTAAGATGGAAACTGATGGGCTTTCCTTTGTTCTCAGCCATTTTTCTTTGGATCAGTGCGAGTAAATGCACCACTTTCATTTCTCTTGTTACTGGAATTGATCAGGCAAGCTGGTAAGTCTTCTCAGGATATGATAAACAACAGAACAATTTAAAGGGTAAGAAATGGTGAAACTTTAGTCATATCTTAAAACTTTTAAAGTTAGAAAGAAAGCCATGTGAATGTGATCATATCTTATACAATCTAAGCCTCCTGCATCTCTCGCCCTTTGATAAATATTCTGATATCGGTCCCAACCAATACCAGCTTTGCAAAGCTCAATGTAGGCCCCTAGCCAGGTCAGATGTCTTAATGTCCCCACTTTGGTTATGATGGAGTCAACGTGCGTATGTTGACAGGGATGTCCTGCCTCTTCCTCTCCAGTTGAGGCCACCATTGGCATTTGTTTCAGCGGCAGCCTCAGCCGGGTCGTCTCTTTTGCGCAGCCTTGTAGTGAGCCGGATGATACACTGGTCCCAGTCCTCTGGTAGCAGCAGCATGAGGAAACCCAAGCAGATGATGAACACAGCAATGAGGCGCACCGTGTTGAATTTGATGTCACAGGTGTAGAGGTCAACCACTGCAAAACAAAACTAGGGTGTATTAATATTGGATCCTAAGAAAGTATTTACACCCCTTAAAAAACTTCAAAGGTATTAAGGAGGATTTTTCTTACAATTAAGTGTCCAGATTTATCTAAAAGTAATTAATTGATGGCTGGCATTCTTGCACTTATGGACCAGCCTCCCAAAAACTTGTTAAATCCATAAATTCTGGCCGTGGTGGGGCCTACATGTCGAAAGTGGTTTGTTTGTCAATCAGCATTTTGCATACATGCCCCCAGTACGTTATATATGTAGGCTCCAAGCGTAACTCGTGCCATGTTTGGCTAGCGGTCCCCCATAACGTTGAGGCACAAAGAAGTACTCCTATGTTTGTTTGCTGCTGCTCCTTTTTTTTTTGCTGTTTGTTCACTCTTTCGTGTAAACTGGAGCATCAATGGCCGAAAACAATCATGACAAACCTAACTGGAAAATTTAGCCTTTTTTTTAAAGGGGGTTGAAAAGAGGAGAGAAAGTAGGAGAGAAGTGTGTGTTTAGGAGATTCTTTTAAGAGATGGCGTGACCTGACGGAGGCAAAAGGGTCTGAAAACAGATGCTTTGGTCACTGAACTCTGTGCTGGACAGGTAAATTACCTGTAATTCTGTATTAAGTACAGAATTTCTGTAAATTATACCAACAGATTACAAATATAACTCACGCTGGTGTTATGCAAAGAAATACCTGCCTGCTGAGAATTGCTTTCCCTGCCGCAGGAGCGTGCATCGCCCCAAAGCTCTCGCACAATGATTATAAAACAGATTAAAATATGAAGGAAAATGGTACTTTTAAAGATATTTTTGATGTTTTCATAATTCTTCAGCATGGATGCCCAAAAATTGAGTTTTGATGGACAGATAAATTCGAATGAAGGTGATTTTAACTTGTATGGAGACACGTTTAAGTCAACGTGCTGTTAGTCAGTGTCCGATAAATATATTCTTTGCTTAGTGGATAGCATTTTTGCTTATGCTGTCAAAACCATTCTAAATCAAAATTACCGGCGGAGGCATTTCCTGCGTAGAGACCTTTTGCGAAGCAGGGGGCACTGACGTATGCACACGTTTCAGAAATACACAAGCAGCCGTTGGACATATCTTCCAGCACAGAATCCTCTTTCCTGCCTTTATTACCAGCCAAAATAAATCTCAGCAAATACAAAATTCTGTTTAAAAATTATGAGATCCTGCATTAATAAACATAGAAAAAAAACTTGGCCTAATTTGAAAAAGCAATTTCTTCTAAATAAACAAAGAAAATAATCAACAAAGAAAATGAAGCTTTTTAAAAAGGCCTAATCAAAGTCTAAACTTAAATCTGATGGATATGATGAGAATTTTCAAGCTGTAACACCAACAGTTTGTCGAATTCAGCAAATAAGAGTGGGTCAGACATCCCCAGTGATAAAAGACGAATTACCATTTACTGTTTGATGGCCAATGTCAGATTACAGACAGGATGGCACAGCCAGTCATTAGATAGAGGGGCTTTTACTTTATCATTTAGGACCCGGCTGATTTAAATTGTCAATTAGGACCCGGCTGATTTAAATTATCCTTTATCTCTTAATTATCTAAAAAACTTCCCAAATTTAATTTATTTTGATGATCTGAAACATTTAAAGTAACCAAAGAGGAAAAAAAAAACAGAAGAAATGTTCAGTTGCTTGAATATCTTTTTTTAAAACCATTATGAACGTGAGCATACAATACACACATTGGAAACTACATAACACGATCGTGTTAATTAATGCTGTCTTTTATTAAATTTTTAAATGGTAGATTTTTATGTTGTGTTAAAGGAAACCTATAAATCCCAAAATATAAGATTACTCCCCAATAATGTTTCCTCTAATTTTTAATGTGTCTTTAATTTGCACGCTGAGACGATACAGCTTTCAGAGCAAGTTACAAGGCTTATTAAAAGAATAACAGAATACAGAGAGACTTTCAATTAGTTTAATTTTAATTTAAGTAATTTGGTCCACTTAATAACAAAAAAACCTATTGTTCATGATGTGTAGTATGCTATATTTAAGAGTCATGCTTTGGCCAGATTGAGGGCTACACCCCACATCACCCCTTTCAAACATAACTTTTGGTTTCATTAAAAATTCCAATTTTGCACAATGAAATGTGTGCAGAAACTTGTGATACAGTATACATTACTGTAACTATTTAATTGCATTTTTTTTTTTAGCATTTCTACTAACATAACTTATATTAGAGTATAAGCATTTTACAATATATATAAGTGAATAAAGAATCGTAACACATGTAAGAAATCTGGCTTAAATTTGATCTATTTTTCATATCTGTCCTTCTGATCTCTCTTGTGGTTTTCCAAACATTCCACTTCAAGACGATATCTGGATGTTGCTTTGATATGATTCATTTAACCAAATCGTCTTTCACAATCAGTGCTGGATGTCTGACATGTAGCACAAATATCCACCAGTTGTGAGACCTCCTTTAGCTCCTCACATCTAAAAAATGCATCATTTAATTCCCAGAGATCCTAAAACGCCCCCATCATGTACTGTTCTCCCTGTTGCTCTCTGGGAAGAGGCTTTGCAGCATCCACTTTCAGACCAGCAGGTTCTGCAACAGCTTTCTCCACAACAACCAGACTGTTTGTCCCTGTTTAACACTAAACTGGACTCTGCATCACACAAAAATATTTAGCATTACCAATGTTGCTGCACTTGACACAACTCAACGTTCCACTGCATTTTGCAGCATATTCATTTTGCACTGCACTGAACGTTTTAATATTAATTCCCTCTTACACCATGACTTAAACTGGTTTCTTTTTCTCCTACATTGATACATTCTGATCATTGCTGCACTTTATATTCGTAACGTTTATCTTGCTCAAACTGCAACATCAGTACACGGTTGAAAGCCGTATGTAATAAAATTTCGTTTTGTATAAACTCTGTGTATACAACATGAAAAAGGAAGATTGTCCATGTCTAAGTCTCTAACATGACCACACCTGTATATTCAGTGCTGGAAGCAAGGTTATGACACTTACTTGCGTTCACAGGGACACTTAGGACAATGCCAATGGAAATTAATGTTGGGTAGGTTATTGCAATGCCAAAGTTCACTAGGATGTTAAAAGCTGTGGAGATAAAATATAACAAATATGTTACACATTTAGAATGTCAATGAGAACCCATAGTTTTGCAGCAAAAATTCCTGTCCCTGTTCATATACCGAAAAGCAAGGCTGCAACTCCACAGAGGTAGGCCCAGGGGATATCTGCAAGTGAGCCTATGTACTCCACATGAGTGAAATACAGGATAACTGGCACGAAGCTGATGAAGACAACGTTGGCACTTCCTACAATGCTCAGGAAGAGTGCAGCTTCTCCAAATTTGGCACTGCCCAGGACCATCTTGAAAAGCACCTGAAAATACAAGAGAGGAGAAATCAGGATGTCAGGGTTGGGTACCTACAATTTAGGAGAGGTGCAGCGGAGTGTTTGCGGAAGGTGTGGGGCCATATCTGCATTAACTGCGACACACACGCAGGTGACCATGTTTCTGAGCATAAACAAGCCTGATCTGCCATTGCTGCAAATCCTATTAAGGCTCGTGAAGATGGACCAGCTACAGAAGCGAGGAGCGCGAGAACAATGGGAGCCTTTTTTCCACGTGAATCCCCACTCTTTTTCGCCCTCATGTCCCTCCAAACTTGCCCCTTGCTTTTTTTGCCTGTAGGGTGTATCTAGACCCAACTCTAGTTCGTGATTGTCCCTCTTGCGTTGGGGCGTGGAATAACATAGCGCAGACCATGCTTCAGATGTTCAAATTGGGCATAAATAAAAAATATCTGTATCATCTATCTGTATAATTATTAATTTGTTGCAAATACTCAGTGAAGAAAATATTATTTGAAAACTACATATGGAGGGATGTTTCACCTTTTCTATTGGATAATCGCTCTAAATCAGCCTGTTTTAATCCTTATGCACCCTACAGCTTAGGTGTTCAACCTGAGATGCCATGTTAGAGCGATTACTGTACATGTATATTGTGTAGAAAGATCTTTGTTGATTTTGTTATATCTTTAGATTCCTTATTCTGTTGAAATAAACACTGAGGTAGTGTCTGTTAGATATTCTTTAAAGTCTTATGTTTTTTTTCTAAAAATTCCCACATAAACAAAGGTTTAGGGGCTTTTTAAATAGAAACGTGACCACAGTATCATGGATCCATACTTAACATTGGGCCTCTGTTTTACCACAAATTCATATACATGGATTACAATCTGATTTTTTGGAATTTTATTCATTTATTGTTAACAAAGAGTTAAAAAGAAATCTGCAACCTGATACCAAACCAAAAAGGACTCCATATATAAGCCAGATTGGAAACATAACAAAGCTTTTTCTTTTTTAATTTTTCCTCCTCTGGGACCCAAATATCACAAAATTATATTAGAATTGGGAATACTGTGGTATTTGATTGAATGAAAACAGATAGCTTACCTTGTAGAGTGCTGACATTGAAGCAGACGCCACGACCAGAGTAATGCCGATGACTGAGTGGCTGTGAAACCCATCAGCATAGGTCATCATGACGATGCCAGCTATGGCCAAGATAGCTGCTACTATCTGTGAAGAGAAAGAACAGCAGTTAGTGATAGATGGGCAACACCTTATCTTTGCTGAGTAAGAGTCTGTTACTGTTGTCTGTGGCATCACTATTGTAACTTTCATAAATCTCCATTTTTGTCTCTGAGAGAAGCAATCTAAGGCATATATAAAATTGGGTTTATAAAAGCTATAATTAATGTCTGAGTTGTTGCTTCTTTTCAGCAGGCAGCCCATTTTTGGATCCTATTTTCCTAAATCCTAACCGTCACGCTTCACAGATTCTCAGGTTTACTTTCCAAGAGCTTTTAAATGGCTGACATTGATTCCTTTTACGCTGCCATCGTGAACAAACCACACACACCGCCCTGATCCAGCAGTCCCCATATATTTCCTTCACTCCTCGCCTTTATGATTAAGATGCCTGCAAGATGACAGGAGATCATCTGTTTCATAACGCTTGCAGTCGTCCTGGATGTACCCCAATCAGCATCCCTCATTTCTGCCTGTGATGTTTTGTTTTCAGACTGAGACGGTACGACCAGAGGCGTCAGCGCTGCGCACGTGGTTGCATACCAGCTGAGTGGATTAGCTCTTGCATTAGGAGGGTGTCAGGAAGATAAATGAACTGTGTGTTTTTGCTTGGCCATAGCCCAGAGACACTTTTTTTTCCTTTTTGGCAGAATTGCTATTTCCGCACTGCAGGCTGCCTGTCAGTCACAGCAGCACGTTTCACTTTAGTGAATGCCACTTTGCCTGCAGGATCAGCAGCCATGAGAAAGGTTTCAGCACAAGTGACGTGTTAAGAGCTTATAGAGTTGAGACCTCATCCATACCGGTAAAAAACAGTTTTAGATTTGGTTATACGTGAGAGCAATGAGTGCAAGCAGATGGACTCCTTTGACCTTTGGTTAGAAAAGCAAACCACAGGATGTTTTAATAGGATTGTTTTATTTGACAACCCAAAGAAAGAAGAGGGAAGTTGTGAAGTGAAAGAAGATCAAAATCTCAAAACTGAGGCATCGGTGAGGATGCATGGTGCCACAGAAGCTTAGAAGCCATTAATTCTATGGGTTCAAACACCTGCTTGCTCTCTCACATTCCAAAAATACCCATCTGAGGTTGACTGGTCTCAGTAAGTTGACCTGAAGAGTGATGGTTAGTTATCCTGTGTGTTTCTGACGTTATCATTAGGGCGTGCCTCACCTACAGTAGTCACCACTGGAGATGGACACCAGTTGTTTAGAAGAAGTATTCATGTCTCAAAATTGGACAGAAATTCAATTAAACAGTCTTGGCACGACCTGTACTTGCTATTCAGATTCATTCTCCTTCCAATCTGACTGAGCTTTAACTGTTTTGCAAAGTAGAATTAAAAATGTGACGTTTTTGATTTTCAATATTGGTAGAGACATGCCCCAAAAATTAAACCTTTCCAAACTTCATTTATGAAGTAGTTAAAAGGACCATGTATCCTTTCCTTTAACCCTTCAAGTTATCCAGTATTTTTTTATTTTTCAATTACACAAGATCCTGACCGGATCAAATGTAAAGAAATGTATAGTCAATAGTGTAGAGAAATGGGATTGTTGGACTGTTTGACTAAAGCTTACTTTGCATCGATGAGCATCAATATGCACCAAAGATCCTTTTAGTGCTTAAAAAATCTTCAATATTTAATTTAATACAAAGAAACAAACAAGCATTAAATTTGAGTCTTTAAGAGGAATCCTCAGAGGATTCTCATAAAGGCCCAAGTTTTCTTTGGCTGATAACAGTATTTATATAATACTCTCTGTCTCTTCAGTAGAGTAGTCCCAACAGAGTAATGTCGGTCTCTTTCAGCCAAAGTTAGATGTTTAGTCATTCCTCAGAATGCAGAAACTCTTTCTTGAAACCATCTCTTCCTCAGTCTGACTCAGCTCTCACCCACATAGTGATTTTTGCATGTCTACATCACATCGCTGTTAGGAAAAACAGATTCTCCTATTTTCTCGAAAGCCTTTGTTTAATTCCTGAGAGGAAAGAGGATTCATAACATGCCGGATTGGAATATCATCGTCTGGAACATTGTATTCCTTCAAGGTTTGAGACCTGTACTTCGTCTAAAAGGGAAACATAAGTTATAAGCTTGCAGGAAAGACGTTTAATAAAAAGGCAATTTAAATTTCATAAAATGTTTCAGAAATATTATCATAACAAGCAAAGTCCTTGCATTTGGACAATCTCAAGAGCACAAACTGTGGAAGCAAAGATCATAAGTACAATCTAATGTGATTCGGAGATTTTTTCCTCATCTTTTGTGAGAACATAAGTGTTTGCATCCAGATATGCAAAACCTGTTAAAAGGTCAACTTTTGTTTTTTTGCTTTAAAAGTATATATAAACACTTTTTGGCAATACCCCAATCTGATAATATCAGCAATAATCAATTATCTGAATATATCAGCCTGTATCTAAAATCTTCGATATTAACATGCTAATAAAAACTCTTCGCTGTAAACCATATATATAAATAAATTGATCTGTTGTTCTTATACCTGCTTTTATTAACTATTGATTTCTGTTTGAGTATATCATTTAATCAAGACTTTGCTAACGTCTGCCTACAGAATGGTAATGGAAGTATGTATGAGTACTTTGGGTCAATATCGACAGTGGCGTTGGATGTTGGAGTTTGCCCTGAAATCGAAGGGTTGACGGTTCAAGCCCCGGCTCCGACTTTCAGTGTCGTTGAGTCCTTGGGCAAGACACTTCACCTGCAATGTCTACTGATGGTGGTCAGAGGTGTACGGCAGCCCCGCTTCTGTCAGTAAGCCCCAGGGCAGCTGTGGCTACAATGTAGCTTGCCACCATCAGTGTGTGAGTGTGCCCGTGAATGGGTGAATGAATGTAGTGTAAAGCGCTTTGGTCAAGCGCTTTGGTCAAGGTTCACCCATCTGGTCAAGTCTCCTGACTTGAAAAAAGGCGTTATATAAGTACATGCCATTTACCAATATCAGTATCAGTATACACTCAAATATGCAATATTAGGAATAAAAAAGTTGTATTGGGACACATTCCCATTATTTAACATAAATCCAAAAGTTATTAAAGAACATAAAAGTTTCTGAATGTTGAATCCTGAAATAAGAACACTGATATGTGGCTCTATTGTTGCCACCAAACAAATTCAAGAAGCTGCACTAACACCATAAGCAGCACCACAACACTAAAACATCACTAACACCTGTTTCACATACCACTTTAGAATAGCTCATCTTTCTCTTTTTTCTATAATAGATCCTTCTGCACTGCAGCAGACTTCCACACACTGCAGTCCCCACCATCAAGCAACAAAGTGAGGGGGTACAAGAGGCAGACTAACACCATTCTAACTGTTGCTGTCACTTTCTGATGTTTTTCATTACGAATCATGGCAGCGGGGAGTCGGATACAGTGAGGAAATGACATGTTGGTCTTTCTGTTTTTCTGTTTTTGCTGCAGACTGCAAGAGAACTGCAGAGGTAAACAAACCAGAGGTGTGCAGTGGAAAAGGAGAAGAGCATGCTTCAACCTTCAACCTTTCATTCTCCGCTTGTCTCTTCTGGTAATTGAAACACATGATTGAATTAGAGCCAATCATTGGTGATTGAAGATGCTGTCAAACGAACTCTGTTCTCTACTACTGCTGACCATGAACAGCAAGATAAACTGTATCCAACTTGTTTTATACAAATCATGAGAGGCACAAACAAAAGCCTATAGCTGCTGAAGGTCGTCCCCTTTATCTCATGGTCCCTTTACTCGTAATGGTAATAGAAAACAGTAAAGGCTAAACTCTCTTGCCACAAAGTCAATGCACAATTCTGTAAGTATTCACTCAATTACATATTTCTTGTTTTTCAGAAATGTTTCAGATAATTACCCTACAAATTACAGACATCAAAGTGATAAGCATGTTGTCAATATTTCACCAACTAAGTCTGGCCTTTTTGTTCTTCCTGAGTGTCACTACCCAATCCGTAACGGAAGAACGATCCATACCATCACCTCATTTGAACATGTGCAAGCAGATATTCATCCAGGTCACTAAATGTTACTAAAAGTGCTTATTTCCATCTTTAAATCACTAAAGTGTGCTAAATCACACACTCAAACATTTTTTTATGATTTTTTTTGAGACAATGTGATGCTTTTTGTATTTTCTCCATTAAACAGCTTGTCTGACATCATCATCGGACATGCTCAGAGTAGTCTGGCAAAATACGATTAAACCATGTTTATCTGCATTTTATTTGTTTCTTTCTTTAGATTACACACTATATACAATAATGTTAATACAAAAGGAAAAAGAAAAACTCAGAAAGACAAGATTAATGTTTAAATCAAAAGCTGAAAATGTTAGCTCCTGGAAGAAACATAGGATCCCATTTCCAGTACAGACGAGTGATAAAACAGAAAGGATTTGAATGCATTTACTATCTCTGGAAATACATTATTAACCTTTAACACATTATAGTTTAGTACACTTACTATTGTCTCTATGTCTTTTTTACAAAGTAAAATCGAGGGGCGACCCGAATGTGTATCTGGATGTGCAAATAAGCTAATGGAACGGATCGTGCTTCCGGGACGGATGGGGTAGTGAAACTGGGCAGCAGTGGATTTCATTTTAAAATGCCATTTTTGTCTCTTCATAACTGCTAAATGATTAATGCTGACCGTAACTATAACAGGTGAGTCTTGCAGTGCTTTAGCTGTTGTTTTATAGACTGACAGTTCCATGGATACTTTAATACAGTTTCAGGCTTTCTTCATTTGTATTAATGATCTCACTGTAGTTTTCTGGAATCCCAAAGCATTCGAAATGCCCCAGAAAAACTTTTAAGGCTGCAGATGTTGATGAATTAGTTTGGGACATGTTAATCTCTCCAATCTTTATCCTACATTGTCATCATCACAGTTCTACAAAGGTAAATCATCTCTTAATAATATAATTCAGACAGCAAACTAACCTTGGTCCAAATTAGAAATGTTAATCCATGACTTAACAAAAGGGCAATTATATTTTCGCACAAGGGGCTTGCTGGTTTAAATAGCAGATTTTTTTTTTCTCATTAATGAAAAACGGCCTCTGAAAACTGCTCTTTATATTTACAAATTGTATCTTTCATATTCAAATTGTTTAATTATCTGCATGCTTAAATGTTACAGATTAGAATTTAAAAAAGCAATGTATAATGAGCAACATATTTTCCCAACAGCTTTTAGCCTAAATGATGAAAATGTGATAAATAAAAGTAAAGAATCTGGAAAATTGCTTGATGTGATGAAAGTCCTCGAATAGATTTATTTTGGAGAAACATCTTTGTCTATGTTAATCATAAATTAAATAAATCAACTTCTTTTTCTATTTTTGTCTACACAGATAATGGCTTTGTCAAAATTGTGTATCACGAGGAACCATTACTATGCAAGATAAAGACAAGAAACCACTGAATTAAAAGATAAGAATCACCCGATTCAGTAGATTCCAAAAGACGAGGGATTTACACATAACCTCCTGGATGCTGTTCTAAAAGTAGTTCAGGCATTTTGGGGGATTTTGTGTATTACGGTACTCCTTACATGAAAAGGAGACACTTTCAGTATATTAATATAAAAATTTAAAACCTTTGCAGCTTCCTTCTTTTCCAGTTATCCACAGACACAATTGTGTTTTTTCAATAAAGAAGCACAGATTTGATGTTTCGAATACTCACCCTGACCCCCATAAAGCGGTCTCTGAGTACAATCCAAGATAGCAGAAAGACAAAGGCCTTGTTACAGCAGAAAAGTGCAGAAACATCTGTGGTGTTAATCTTCCTGAGGGCCTGCAGGTACAGGTAGTTGGTGAGGATCCACAGCAGGCCAAATGGAGCTACCTTGGTGAAGAACACTTTGGGGGTCAGTCCCTCATCCCCAAAAAACCTGCAGCACTCCCTGTGTAGAAATGCAATGAAGGACACTGTATTAGTGCAGCGGAAGTTATGTCATATCAGACTAAAAAGATTAAGTGCATGAATTTACTAAAACTGGGGTCTTCAACGTTTTCCAGGCCAAGGACCCCCAAACTGATGGCAAGATGGAGCGGGGACCCCCTAATTATATATATTGCATGAAATTGTGTTATATCAAACTGGTCCTATAGTCACTCTATTACATATAGAGTAATGTAACGAAAGTAATTTCACCCTGGGATTATTAAATTGAATATCTAAATCCTCGTTGATGGGACAGTTGTGAATGAAACGGTGCCCAGCTTCAAAGAGCTCCTGTGTTTCTCTGAATGTGTGCATTGATGACTGAAAGACATCTTCTGCCTTCATTTATCTGTTTACTACAGTGTGTTGAATTCATGTGTATTTAAAAACATTTCAATTAGTGGAACAAATTGCAGGGGAGAATATAAAAAAAAAAGTCTAATCAACCATAACTTTTGCGACCCCCATGCAGTACCTCTATGGACCCACTAGGAGTCGCGGACCCCCTGTTGAAGACTTAAATAAATGAACGGGATTCCAAGAAGAAAACCTAAATATTTAGCCCATACAACCAGAGCTGCAATGTACAGATTCAGATCAGTTGGTCCTATATGTTCCAGATCCAAACCACAAAACCAGATAAAATGTGCCAAAATAGTTCCAGAATGAGAGCAGCCTTCTTTAACTCACTATAAAGTGGTTTAAAGGTGAGTGTCATACTATTCTGACACATACAATACTTAGGAATTAGAATAGCCCAGTCAAGGTCCAGTTACAAATCCAACTGATAATCTTTGACTAGACTGATGTTTACAGATGCTCTCTGTTCAATCTGAAGAAGCTTGAGTATCGTTGAGTATCGTTGCAAAGACAAACTGAAAGAAATTCAGTCTCTAGATTTGCAAAGCTGGTAGAGACAATCCCAAACAGAATTCCAGTTTATACTTTGAGCAAAATCCAAAATGCTCATCACTCCTATTACATTTCTATTGTACAGTTTGAAAAACATGTTAGGTCACAATTATGGATTTTTTTGTTGATCTGAAGATAGAATGTGAGAAACTTATAAAAAATGTGGGTATCATGGATACTTTGGAAGACACCGCCAGTTTTTTTACGTTAGTAGTTATACAACATAATAACTACACAAGGACTTGGCATAGCCTATCAAATAGCATAAAGTAAAAGTAAAGTTGATTAGAGAACAAAATGTCTTATTTCATTAGCACTTCATGTTTAAATGCTGAAATCATTTTGTGGATAAAAAGTTTAGAAGAGCTGGCTGGAAATGTTTTTTAATTGGCTCTATGCACAACTCCACTACTTCCAGAACTTAAGGCAGCTCTTTTGTTTCCTTTCATTAATGGATGAACTGATTTATCCAGGTGTGCCTGGCCATGGTTACTGAGGCCAGGCACACCTGGATAAATCAGCTCATCCAGTAGAAAGAGACAGAAAACAAAAGACCTGCATTAAGTTATGGAAGTAGTGGAGTTGGGCATAGAGCCCACAAAAGCTGATTGGATAGATTTTATTGGCCTGAGTGAGTGAAGCCAGGTGTCTACCATCCACCCTTTGACTCTATGGCTACGTTCACACTGCAGGCCTTGATGCTCGATTTTGATTTTTTTGTAAAATCCGTTCACATTTCCAAATATATGCAACTTGTATATGATCTCCTGTGTGAACTGTAGTCTTACAACGCAAGTGTCCCGCATGCACAGTAGAGAACACAATGACATCACAGGCCAGCGTGCTCTGTGTTTACGGAAATAGACATGGATGGTAGTGCCGGAGTGCATCTAGTGATCTTTCCCAACCATAAAAACACAATCTTTTCTAGATGGTTAAGCATAAATACTGCCCTCCGCATCATTGTCTGCCATGGTTGGTGTCTTTCTTCATAGCAAGACCCAGAATAGTGACCTTTGTCGGATATTAATGGCATTAAGGTCAGATGAATACGACCTGGCCGTTCAGTCACATTTCGCATTTGAAAAGATCACATTCGTATCGGATTCAGGACCACATAGCCAAGTGGCCTGGGTCACATTGGAAAAAATCGGATCTGTGTTGTTCAGACTGCCATGAATAGATCAGATCCAGGTCGCATATGGGCCAAAAAATCGGATTATGGTCACTTCAGGCAGCAGTGTGAACGTAGCCTAAGATCTGTTTTTTAAAATGTCATACTGTTCACTTACCATACTAATAATCTTTGCCTGAGGAAAAGGTTGTTTTTAACTTTACAAAAAGCTCTGGTGGGAGTTTGTGTCTCATAGTTATGTCTCATTAGGTGGCAAGTTTCATATTTTAAGATTTATGGAAACCAATTTAAAGCAGGTTATATTTGTTTTGTTTTTTTATAAACAAAAAATGGCACAGATGACAAAGCTCAGTGGAAAAAGCTTGCTTATGTCAGTTTAATTGAAAAAAAAAAACAGGAAGACATGATTTCAATAAGTATATTTCCAAGAAGAAATCCTTTAGCAACAATAATTAACTTTAGGTTTTTGCTTTTTTTTTCTCAGAGTGCTGTACACAAAGAGGTAATACCAGATAAGATGAACTAAATCAGAAAATGAGGACAATAAAGGAGAAAACACCTGCGGCCTCTAAGCTTCCTGCAATCCCTCACTTTTTACAATATCTGGGTTTTCTTCCTAAGATGCCTTAAATTTCACTGTAAACCTTTCAGTTCACACAACACTTTAGAGTGTTAAACTAAGATTTGTCTATATCACTTTTCATAATGAAACAGATGGAAAGTTTGTGTGATGGAAGTATTGAAGAAAAAAGGTCATAGCAACATACTTGTTAATAACCCCGTGGTACACAACAATTCTTACTTTCTTTAAAAAATACAATTTTATCTTATCATTCAAACTGATCAACATATTGTGGAAGTGATGAGTCAGACTTCCCTGCCTAGCTTTCCAATGGACAAGTCTGACTTTGGCAGCTGCCAGGGGAAATGAACTTCTAAGACTGCATTATGTCAAATCTACAGTTTGGTGTGGAGGGGATTCTGGCGAAAAGCTGTTTTCTGAGTTTGCACCTTAGTAAACATGGTTTTTGATGTTTTTAAAAGGCATAGTAGTGGCTGCAATGCTTAAATGCTCCCGTGTATTAAAATAACTTGGACTATTTCATAAATAAGGACTGTATTCAAAAGCACAAAGTAGGGCCCTTAGAGACACAGCTGAACTAGTTTGTGTCATGATTCTGCACTTTTTGGTTCTGTTTAAGTTTTCTTTTTGAGTTTTCAGTTACACTTTTATTCATGTTTTTCTGTTTTCTACTTTATTGGTTTAATTTCCATCTTGTGTTATTCTAATTTTTGGTTGTATTTGAGTTCTTATGTATTTCTTGTTTGCCCTCTGTTGCCCTCTTGTGTCAATGTCCTCTCCTAGCTCCCTTCTAGATTCTTCTGTCCACACCTGCTCCTAATCTGCTGATCAGTCTCGTCTTTGTTCAGTCTCCCATTTATACGCCTCCTCTTCAGTTACTGTTTGCTGGTTCCTTGTTTTTTCTTTACCCCTCATGTGTCTTTTCCCTGACGTCTCCTGGATTTTGGCTTTCTGTATTTTGATTGTGGACTTTTGCTTCTCTTGCCCTTTGGATCATTATTTAATCAGCAAAACTCATATCTGCCTTCTTCCGTCTCTGCATTTGGGTCCTCCAAAACCTCCACTCAACCTGACAGTTTGGAGTGGACTAGGGTGAGAGAACAGAATTATCAACCCAAAACAAAATCTTCAGGATGAATGATAGTATCTGTGAGCTGGGCCTTACTGTCCAACATTAATGTGTGACCAAACAAATACACCTTCTGACGGTATGGTCAAATATTCCTATACATGGTTTATAGGAATAATAAAAACAATCCACGGGACTTGGTTTCCAAGGTTTGAAGTCATTTCGCTTCAGGAAGCTTTCTCAATTCAAATGTTAATTGAGAAAGCTTCCTGGAGGGGAAGCGAAACATCTTCAAACCTTGGAAACCAAGTCCAGTGGATTGTTTTTAAACTTTTACGGAATGACTATGACCTGGATGACTGAGAATCTTCATCAGCATATTCCTAAAAGTATTTGCTCACCCATCAAAATCATTGGAATCAGCTGTTCCAATCACTTCCATGTCCACAGGTGTATAAAATTAAGCACTTAGGTACATGTATGCAGACTGTTGTTAGAAGTATCTGTGATAGAATGGGTTACTCTGAGAAGCTCAGGCAATTCCACTGTGGAACTTGGATCATAACGGATCCATTTAGGAAATGTCCTCATTTTAAATATTCCACAGCCAAATGTCAGCTGTATCACAAGAAAATGGAAGTGTTTAGGAATGACTGCAGCCCCATGTTACCGGGCAGAGCAGGGTCAGCAGATGCTGAAGCGTATAGTGTGAAAAGGTCGGCAACTTTCTGCAGAGTCAGTGGCTACACACTTCAAAACTTACGTGGCCTTTAGATTAGCTCACGAACAGAGAGATTCATGGAATAGGTTTCCATGGTCCAGCAACTGCATCCAAGCCATCCATCACCGGCTGCAATGCAAGGTGTCGGATGCAGTGGTGTGAAGCGCACCGCCAATGAATTCCAGAGCAGATGAGACAAGTTATCTGGAGTTTGCAATTGGCCCCTTAATTCCAGTGAAAGCAATTCTAAATGTTTCATTACACCAAGACATTTTTGACAATACCATTCTCCCAATTGAGTGAGAACAGTTAGGAGCTGGCTCCTTCCTCTTCCAATATGACTGTGCATCAGGGCACAAGCAAGGTCCATAAAGAACCGAAGTTGACTGTCCTGCACAGGCCTAACACTTTTGGGAGGAATTACAGCAGAGACTGAGAGCCAGGCCATGTCATTCAACATCTGCAGGAATAGTCAAACATTCCCTGAAACACACTCATTAACCTTGTGGACAGCCTCCCAAAAAGAGAAGAAGATACAGTATTCTAGGGGGAGTGTTGGCCTAGTGTGTTAGAGCAGTGTGCCTGTGCTCTAAGAAGGTTACAAGTACCCGGTTTGAATCCCACTGCCTCCACTCTCTGGGTTCCTGAGCTACACCCTCAATTGCTCCCAATTGCACAAGGGCAGCCCACTGCTCCCCACAGGGATGGGTTAAATGCAGAGGTACAGTTCTCTAATGTGAGATCAATAAAGTTCAATTATTATTATTAGCTGTAAAGGGTGGACCAACGTCATATTGAGGCGCTATGGATTAGGAATGGGATGTCCCTTAAGCACAGAGTTAAAATTTGGATATTATTGTCGATATAGTTTACACTCCAAAGCAGTGTGGACAGACCTCCCACAGAAGTCAAAGCTGTTATAGATTCAAAGGGTGGACTGATAGAACACTTTGTGGATTAGGAATGAGGGGTCTCTCATGATTAATGTTAGTCCGTTTTTTACTCGTAAGTGGTACACTATTTGTGACAAGATTAAAACCTTAATAAAGGAATACTAAAAACTAATCAAAATACGGTATGTTGATTTTATCTTGAGAACTTCTGATATTTTATTATGATATTTTTCCAAAACTGATCCTTAGACAGGAAAGAACAGAATATGGTTAGAATTATTATAATTACCCTCCATCTTGAATCTTCAATATTAATCTTCTGTAATAATCAACACTGTGAAACTTTTGACCAAAGTATTAGCTTGATTTAAGATATATTAGGGCAAAGCAAGTTTATTTGATACATTTCAATATTAAGACAATTCAAAGTTCTGCACACAATAGGAATAAAAACACACAGAAAAGTACTTTCCAAGATACTAAAACACAAATAAATATACATATGTTTCCAATACTGCTGGTTCAGTACTGGTACTAGTTTTTACTGCCGTGTTCAGAAATAGGTACAATCAGAGCTGAGTAGATCTACTTTGCAGATTTCTATAATTTTTTTCCTGCATTGTTTCTATAGTCTATTTTCCAGAAAGGCTATGCATACACATACTATGCTTTCATTTCCTGAAGTTGCTCTAGGGGTTCAAACATCACTCAGTTTAAATTTTGATTTAAAACAAGGGTAAAACAAAACCCTTTTTGACATGAAGTTTATCTATTTGTCTAGAGATGACAAATCTCCCAACCTTAATCTCTGCCTGGGCGTCTGCCTCTCCGGACTCTTGCACAAATGGCCGATGTAGTAGACCGGAAAGAAGAGGCAGTTCCAAGTGGTGGCGAACCACGTGAGCGTGAAGGGGGCATCAAAATGCTTAAAGGTCAGCTTGGCCAGCTGGGTGGAGCCCGCCCAGGACGAGCACACGCACATCACCATCGCGACCCCCCACAGGGCCTTCCGCACCTGCAAGGCTGTTACTCTGATGCAACAGTGTAGCCTTCGCCTGCTGGGGCCAGACTCTGTCCCAGCTGCAGTGATTGACTGAGCATCTGTGGAGCCCACCACATTCTCTCTGGTCCGGTCTTCTCCTGTGGATGGACAAACATAGGAGGTAAGGAACGTGTTAGTCCCTAGACTAAAAGAAAGGATATATATATGGAAAAGACTGGGGAATGACTCCAATCTAAACTTAGAAAAGAGTTCACACTATAAAATATGCTGGGTTACATTATCTACCCAAACACTGGGTTATGACATTCTTCGCCCATTATGAGTTATATTTAGGGTAGTAGGGTTATTTTTATGGGACCTGGGTTATTTTTTTGTGTGTGAAATCCATGCTATGGGTCAATATGTTTTTCCAAATTCATCAAACCAACATGCATCGGTTGACCCAGCACCTGGTTGTTTGTGCTTTAATCTCATCACCTGGAAAGACAAGCTCCACCTGGGAACACACCACGCCCATGACTGTGCCAAGCTGCATGCCCTATGCACCATCAGCTCACACAGTTGGAGCATCTGACTGACCATTTTCATAGCAAGTCATACAGACAGGTTCAAAGGCAGGTCCAGGAAGAGAGAGGTAGCTACATGCATCTTAAGCATCTGTCACCACTGCTGCACAGCCTTTGGACCATGACACACTGCCTCCTGCCATCAATGTTTCCTTCAAGGCATTCTTTTATCTTACACATTAAATACAAGCAGCAGTGTGAACGTTTGTGGGGATTTCTGACGAGAGCAGTCTATGAAATGCCAGGAGAGGAGTATGATCAGGTAAAGTTTTTTCAAATTAGAATACTTGCCTTCAGTGGAGCTAAGGGCCAAAGGAAAAGCTTTTTGTACCAGTTTGACATTTGGCTTGTTGCTGCTCTCACTTGTTATACACATTTGTGCATTGTTTTAATAATGCTGTTTGAAATTGTTCCATAATTAACTAATATCTTCCTTTTTGTAATGTGGGTGCCTCGTTAGTTTGCAGTATCATGTTTATTGGTTTATTGCATGGTATATGACCAGATTTAGCATGTATTTTGTCATAGATATAGGTAGTCTATTGCAATTTGACTGTACTGTAATGTGTTAGAGTCAATATGAGGGATTTAAAATTATTATTAAACAACTAAATGTTGCTGGTGAAACAATAAAATGAAAAAGACAATGAATGAGCGGGGGGTGGTATAGTTTTAGGTTCTGTAGGCCTGGCTTGGTTGGAGCCAGTTTAAAGTTCCGCAGTTCTCCTAGTACCACGTCTTGTCTCTGTTCCTTTCCTGTCTGTTCCTGTAGGATCGAAACCCCTGACCGGGCTGCAGACTCCTGGATCCCGGAATCATGCGGTTCTGAACTGTTTCCCTGACCTGGCTCGGACTCCTGTCTGCTCATTGGGGCTGCTGCATAAGGGACACTCTGGGCGGCTCAGTGCCACATCTCATTTGGTAGTCCATCGACTGGATCCTGCCTCACCCGAGAAGATGGACTGAACTGTTAAAACTGGTGACTCACACAAATAATCATCTTCTGTTAGATTATTGTGGTCATTTACCTGTGTTTCTCCCACAACCAGACTGCCAGTGATGGGTGTCGCCCCAATTCCCCCCTGCAGCCGCTGCATGTCCGCAGATTCACAGCAGCCCATGTTCTGTTCTGTTTCTGTTCAGTTCTGTTTTGTTTACTCACTAAAGGTTTTTAAACCTCCCACTGTCTGTCTCGCCTGTATACTGGGTCCATTGCCCCTTTTCATGACAAAAATTGCTATTAATTTCACCCAGCGTTTGGGTAGGGTCTATTAACAAATATGTGTGGTTGAATTTATCCAAATTAGCAGTTAATTCATCCATAATTTGGGTAGAATATTATAACCCATTTCTTGGGTTATAAAAGACCAAACCATCTTAGTGGGTCAGTTTGGGTTATTTCTGACCCACTTCTTTTTCACATTCTTTCATAACAAACCCCTTCTTAATATTTTATTAATTATTTTTTGTGACAAAAAAGACAAACTAGAGACTATTAGTGATATAAAAATTAAAAAGTAAGAAAAAAAGTCTGAAAACTGGGGAGGTGATTTTTCCTTGAGTGAAAACTTTGTAGAACCCCCTTGTTGTTACCACAGCCGCAAGAATTTTCAGTTTTCTTCAGCTGAATATTCCCACTCTTTTCCAATCTATTCAAAGATTTCCTTCTATTTATTTCATCTCTACATCAAAACTGATCGGCTTTCCTTTCCATGCTAAAGAAGCATCCCTGCAGCATTATGCCGGCCCCACTACATTTCCCTGACAATGGTGTGTTCAGGGGGAAAAAAAACAATCTGTCTGCTTTGCATCTAGATGAAAAAGCTTAATTTTCTTTCCATCTAAATAAAATAAATGATGAACAGATTTTAATGACATTTTTACCAAAGGTGCAGCTCAGTCCAAGGAAATATCAGCAATATTTTTGAAAGATTACCTACCATTAAATACAGGTATTAACCTAAGGTGGAAGTTACAATATCTCAGGAGAAATTAGCTACTTAGCAGTGGCCTCTGCTCTGAGTGCTTTTCTAGTGATAAATTGAATTTTGGGTTGTCTGAATCAATCAAGATACAAAATGGCCCTGCAACAGACTGCCAACCTATTTAAGCTGTACCCCACCTTACGCCAACAGACTGCTGAAGATAGGCACTTGCCTCACTACAACCCTTATGTAATAAATGAGAGAAGATGGATGGATGATATAAAATAAATGAACATTGAGACCTTCCACCTTTATTTGCCACCAAAAAAGAAAACCCTTCATCCCGTTCCTTTGACTTCACAACTATGCAGTACCGTATGTTGATGGTTTACATGATATTCCAATAAAACACCTTTAGTTTGTAGATAAAACCTTATTAAATGAAAAAAGGTGAGACTTTTACAAGAAACGGCATCGACAGACTTTTAGTAAGGCTAATAACTTTAGCAACTAAGCCAAAAGAAAATACTGAAATTGTAAGTTTCCTGCTCCACAATTTAGATGAGAATAACTACTGCTGTGCTTCACATGAACTTGAAGGAAATCAATCAGATGTCTGAGTTAAAAATATAAGAATCAGCCTGAAAGGCAGCAGCCAAACAGAGGACGAAAAAGGACAGATCTGATATCTAATCCAAGATCATCTCCTCTCCTATAGAAGGGCTGCTGGTGGCATGTATATTCATAGAAACCAACAAAAACACTCACACAGCGCCTCCTCACTTTTCTATTTTCCCTGTTAAAAACTTAACAGCCTCTATATGTCTTCAGTAAATCCTGGTTTCTATAATCCCAAATACACACACTGTGGTAGCTGCATCACTTATCTGCTTACCAAGGTTATTATGCTGTCCTCAGCCCTTGAACTAGCTTACAGGTTTTCCACTTTTAAATTCAACTATAGATAAAAATGAGTTTTTTTTTTCATGTAAAAAATTAAGCAAACAAATTAATGAAATTAATAATATAAAATTGAGGACAGCCTAAGTCAGGCTATGTATCTTTTTACCATATTGGTGCAAATGATGAATTACTATATATCTTAACCATCAATGGGAATGTAAATAAAAAATACTGAAGAGAATGCTAAAACTTTTGGTGAGGAATCTTTGAGTATATATTACTTGATAATGTTTTATGACTGTGAATCAACTGCATTTCACCAGTAACAGGAAAAAAAGGCATTTGTTTTGTTTCATAGCAGCTTTTTAATACGATCCATTAATCTGCTGTGGCATCCTTCCAAAAAGTTAAAAGGCAGTATGTCCCTGATATGGTTTAATATATGATGGGATGCCACAGGAGACTATTAGCTGATTCATCTCTACTGAATGCACCTGACTGAAATACTGAGAAGTTAAACTATCTTCAGTGAGATAAAAGTGATTCTAATTTACATCAGAGCAATGCTAAAAAAGTGTCTATTATGCACAATGAAGAGATAATTTACCTTCATTACTTAATCAAGCAGCGGCCTCATTGAAAGTATTTTCATTCAAAACTGGGCGCCCTCTGTATGAACATTATTCAAGACTGTGTCTTTAAAATAATTATACATATGATGCCTGTGGCACAAGATCAACAATCTCTAATGTTGATCTACTCAACATACACAACCTATAGGTGACCTGTGAAGCTAAGCTGAATAAAATATCTCATTATTAAGACTGAACTTCAAAACAATAGTGACTCAGGTCTTTTCTGTTTGTTTTGTTATTTGTTTTCTTTAGCTACAAACCATTTCATCCATTATGGCAGATAAAGCGACTGATTCTCCCTGAAAGGGCTGTGTTTGACCTTGCCAGTTAATTTCATCACAAATTCACTCCCCCTATAAACTCTAATGCTATTTTTCTGGCTCATATGGCCTACAAAATGAATTCAAATACAATTTGGAATTTATTAGACTTCTTGCTACCAATAAACATAAAATGTATTGTAATTATTCTGTACTGTTTCAGTATTCCTATCATATCTTTGCAAAATAACCATGCAAGAACAAAGAGCCATTTTGCAACAATGATAAATGATTAAATGATTCAGTCTGCATTTACTATGAAATGATTAACAAAGAAGCCCCCTCAGCAGTGGGAAAATAAAAGGATGAGAGTTAATTGTCCTGATCCTGAAGGTCATTTCATGTCCGTGCCACCCGGTTTTTGTCTTTTCTGGGAACCATTCCCACATCCTGCTGCTCCGATCACTTCTCCGTAATGCACCATAGCTTAATCTTCCGAATGCAACCTTGGGCCAATCCAATCAGCCCACCCAGGCACGCTCAGGGCCCCAGTATGGCATTTCCAGCTGACACAGTGATATGGCAATAGAAATTATATTGATCAGCCAAAACAACATACTGAAGTTACCACAGTAGCGAAAAATTAACAAATATCTACATGCAGAAACAATCATATTTTATTATTTGCAGCTTCTCTGATTACTGCTCAAAAGTCACGGCATGCCTCTTTACATTTTGTCACATATCATTCACAAATGTCTTGCAAATTTAGGATTGATGATCCAGCAGGCCAATCAATTTTCTTTCAATGTCCTGTGTAGAATTAGATCATAAATCAGCATGTGTGT